ATTTGCATTTTCAATCCCATCTCTATTCACTGTTTTTAATACCTCGACATGCTGACTAAAAGCAAACCTAATCACTTCTCCTTTGTGGTTCCTTTGACGAATTTCAATTTTATTTTAATGGTGTCCGGTGCCCAACCTAAAAACACTAATATAATTCCTGAATAAAGAGTAAAAACTGTGTATCGTGCGGCAATGACGACTGACTGCCTACTTTTGCAATGATGTCAAGCGTTGTTCGGTTCAACTCATCCAACATGGCGACCTCCGTCTTCCCATCAGCCTTGTGGCTTAGTTTCTCGATCAAGACATCTGCTCCTGCATTAAACTGCCCCATCAATCCCTGAAGATACCTGAATATACAATGGAAAATAGTTTTCGAATGAGCGATAAAGGTTCAATATATACACGAAGAGTCAAACATTTTGGGGCACGCTTTTGACTTGTATCTGTGTTTTGTTTCGTACTACAATTTCCTTCAGTACTTCGTATTGTTCGCGTTATTGGTTACTCAATTGGTGTTTTTTCTCCAGTGAACTCAGTCAAGACAAGTGAGAGCAAACTGGGTGCTGTTTTTGCGAAAGGCACTTACCAAGGGGCAAATTCACCGAACCTCGCGCGCATCGGTAATAAAAACAGGATCCTCTTTAACAGGCGAAGAGAAAGAAACCCTAACCCCAACCCTTACACTAACAAGACAACTTTGACTCAGTTCATTGCAGAGTTTGTAGTCAGTTCAATCACATATCCAATCACAAGCCAGGTAACAGGTGATTCAATTATTAAGATGAAAAAAAAAGGGCAAACAAATGCCTTTGCCCGAGTTCATATCCGTTGCTTAATATCTGGATGACTTACTTTCTATGGAAGGCAGGGTTGATAAGCGCCCGTTTTTGTGCATGTATCTCAGGATCCAAGACAGACACGAGACCATTCCCCATAAATCGTGTCCCAAGGACCTTCATGAAGGTCCTATAAAATGAGTAAGGCTTCCGGTGTGTATCGGTCAACAGAATTTCCTTAAAATCAGAAACAAGAGACAAGAAAAGAATTTATTTCCATCCAAAAGACAAAACTCGTCCAAATATGTGGAAAATTCAAGATTAGTCACCCAATTGACGATATGAAACAATCCAATAAACTGAATAATTAGCTCCACATTGTAGTCCAGTCAATCACAAGTCAGTTCCAAGTCTATCGCAAGTCAAACAAAGGTCAAGCGAAAAGTAAACCACAAGTCAAATCACAAATAAAGTCATATTAAATAAAGTCAAGTTGTTATTAAAGGAATGACTTTGGGAATGTCCATCTGTTCATTTAAGTACTCGTGATGTAACTGGAAATTGTAATACATGTATTAATGGTTACGTTAAACGGTTATGTTTAACAGACTTGTGAGGACTTATAGTGCCTTGACTATACAGCTCTGAAAGTCAGTATACAAGAATTCAAACAGTTTGGCATTGGACAGCTTATCATCAAGCAGCATCGAAGATACTTCAATATCAAAATTGCACTTATTCTGTTTGTTTTCCAAAAAAAAGGCGGTTCTCCAATCACGCGTCTCACTTGCGTTCGCGATTATCTTTAAAGATAAGACGTTGGTATGTGACCTTTGACATCACTATCATGTGAAGGTTCCCATGTTGCATCCATGACCCGAGGTTGGTTGCAATTGGACTTCAAGTTTTGACACGACAAATTTGACATGTTAAGCCTATTAACAACTTGACCTCAGACGACCTTTGACCTTGGTAAGTAACCTATGACATCATTATCATGTGAAGGTTCCCATGTTGCATTTATGATCCAAGTTTGGTTCCAATTGGTCTTCAACTTTTCAAATGGGACAAATTTAACATTTTTAGCCTATTTTACAACTTGACCTCAGAAAACCTTTGACCTTAAAAAGTGATCTTTGACATCATTATCGTACGAAGGTTTTTACGTTGCATCCATGATTCAAGTTTGGTTTCAATTCGACTCCCACTTTTGAAATGAGACACATTTTACGAAACTTACCAAAATATATACCATAATACAGGCTATATACGGACAGACATCTTTCCTGGACTTTGTCAATGGCAATACCATTTTTTTTGTTTAATACAATATCCTTCCAAAAAAAAGGTTTCGTATACCTAGATGATTTTGTTTTAATTATTTGTATAATGGGTAGTTAAGGCTGATCCCCCACATTCGTATTGAAAGATCGGGAACCAGTTTGTACCTTATTTATTTTTTGTATATCTTTTGTACAGCTCGGGCACCCGAGCTATCATGATTTATGGACATTAGTGCTGTGCACTCACCTTGACAAAGTCTGGAACCATCACAAATACCACCGGTTGAAAGAAGAAAAAGATCACTAAAACAGGTCCATATTGGCGCATCCTGAAAACAATTGGGGAAAAATGCTTTTTCTTAAATCAGTCGCGGATCCTCAGGGTAGGGGTCTAAACCATCCCCTTTGGCCGTCAAAAATATGTATGAAAATACCAGTGACAAAAATACGTGAATGCTAATCCTCCTCTTGATGCTTACCCCCCCCCCCCCCCAAAAAAAAACCGTGACAAACCAGGATCCGCTCCTGTGGTAAGCGTACCCACTCGGGTGTAATTAATCCCACTCGGGTGCGTATTTGAAACTTCAAACTGAGATATACGACATAAACGTACATGTCAACGATGGCATCGGAGAAGCACTGATTCTTCCGATGGTATTCCATCATCATCGGTGCATGTCCGAGAAAGAACCTGGAAATAAAAACAAATATCGAGTTTAAAAAAAATATTAAACCAAATTGCCTGGGTTAATTTTACAAGGCCAAGAAAGGGTGAAAACTGCAACTTCCCAAAAATGGGTTGTTTTACAACCAATTGTTTGGGTAAGAATTTCTATTAAATTCAACCAAAAGTTGTAGTCATACAAGACCAACTCACGTGCATGGTTCATAGCTCGGCCAATTTCGGGACAACAATGACAAGCGCATATTAGCATATTCATCAGCGTGACTCGGCGTGACTTCGCGTGAGTCTCGTATCGACCAATGGAAGCCAGCAAAAAGGGTGATATTTATTAATCAATAACTCCTGAAGGAGGCTATTCTGCAACTTTTTACTGCACACCATACTGGATAGGAACCTTAATAATATTCGTGAGCCTTGAAAAGATTGACAGATATTGTAAACGCCAGTGTAATACAGTTAAGAGCACGTAGCCACATGCCTAATTTTTTTTTTGAAACGAAAAGTACTGAATATAAATCAAAGCGATTTTAGCACATAATTGGATCATTATAAGGGAAACAACCCTGAAAGTTGCATGAAGATATCGTCTTCCAAAACGGGTGAAATTAATTTGCAAAGATTTCGCCCGCCAACGTGAATATGCCTGTGTGCGTGTTGTTTCATTGAAAATAAAGTATTACGTAACCTTTAGAGATCGGCCTGCGCAACCACAGGGCTGGAGATCACGCACGGCCATATAGTGACATTGTTGGCGGAATCATAGTCTGTTTGCACCATGCAAGCATAGTGCATATGGTATGCACAAGTGTAGGTCTATACTTTAGAAGTACCGAACCCATATCTAATTATAGATTATATAATTACATGTACTTTGGTCCAGTCATGGAGGAATTCCCCCATGGTCCAGTAGCCTGCACAGACAAGGGTAGCCCCATAAATGTGGCCTATTTACTGGACTGCCTCCGTAAACATAGGCCACACGTCCACATGTACAAAAATCGTGTCGACTTTGCCAAATTTTGATTTTCACATTTAGGCTTAGTTTGTAGGATTTTTTTGCTTTAAAAGCATACTAACCCACTTTATAGGCTAGTCAGAAAGTGCTGCCTTTTTGAGATGTCTAATTTTTGTGAAATTTCATGTTGAAATTTTGATACGCAAACGTGTTAAAATGAATCTGGAAATTTCACGAAAAATATACATCTGAAAAAGGCAGCACTTTCTGATTAGCCTATAAAGAGGGTGAGTATGCTTCTAAAGCAAAAAAAACCTACAAACTAAGCCTTAATGTGAAAATCAAAATTGGGCAAAGTCGACACGATTTTTGTACATGTGGATGTGTGGCCTATGTTTACGGAGGCAGTCCAGTAAATAGGCCACATTTATGGGGCTAAGACAAGGGCAAACAGTGCAATGTGCTTCTCTTACATGGAAACACAATAAATGAGTATAATTCAGCCGTCAGGAATGATCTACTCGTTCTATGCCACAAGGTACATGTACATAGATTAAATATTATACTTACCCTTTCCAGCCTTTCGTAGGTGCGGAAGGGATATGCGCATACTTGCGATGCTTGTAGTAGACAAATAACGCGAAGGCTATCAACAATATACCACCGCAGACCAGTATTATAACCAACAGTCCGAACAGACAGGTTAGAATTGAGAGAGCCGGCGCAGCCATGTTGCACGCGGAAGCAGGCTTCGTGTTCAGTCAGTTTGCTTGGGCTATTACGCGGTTTCCTATCAACAGCTGATCAAGCGTAAGAAATGAAAACACAGGCATTGTGCCTCGAAGGTCAAAGTTTGAATGCGCACAAATAAGTGAGGAATTGGTGGCATTGCACTTTGCCCCAAAACGCGTTCGGGTCTGTTGGCAATACGGGGTCAAACTTCAAGTTTGATTTGCTCTTTAAAGTTTTCAATACATCTCTATTGTTTTGTTTTTTTAAATGAAAATGAAGGACTTGCCCAACCGTAGGCCTACAATTATTTACCATGACAAACTTCGATGGGGGCACGTACTGTTCAATCCGACGATCATGAACACAATGAAGAAAGCCAATATACATGTACATTGTACTCTGTCCGAATGCTGTGCACAGGAGGAGATTAATTGTTACCAGTAGGGCCTAGTTATTTATTTTTTTTTTTTTGGGGGGGGGAGTGTCACAGTGGGGGGGGGGGGGGGGGTTCCACATTAATTTTTAGATACTTCTATGAAAACAATGTGTCACAGCTGGGGGTTTCCGACACCCAAATCCCCCTCTGGATCTGCGCCTGTGTGGGTAGGCCTCTTCTTGACTTCTAATTAAAATAACAACAAATAATATTCACAAAAATAATACATCCGCTGAAAAAAAAAGAAAACACTTCATCACCCATCTCTTGTGATTGACTCAACGTTCTCGAACCTCGGTGGTTCCAAACTACAATGATTGAAGGCCGAAACTCAGAACTAAATAGTCGGTGACTATAAAACAATATATTTTTACTGTTTTCTTGTCTAAAATAGCTTTTGGAAGGGGTTTAAATCCTCATAACATTTCCAAAGTTTCAGTTATAAAAAAAATAAATTTGATTATTTCTATATCTGTGTGGCTAAGTTGCATTACGTAAGAATCCACTTGCACCTTTTAATTCACCGTTTAAAGTGATCAATGTCATACTAGCGTCGGCAACGTTAGTCAGCCGCTGTGCTCTGGTCCTGCCACTACTAACGGTTATTAAAGTTCTAATTACAAACACCAAAGAACACTCTGCCATGTTAAATCAAAATTAGGACCTATGTTGAAGATTTCATCCCATAATATTTGGCAACCACGTGATAAAACAACTAAAAATCTTTTCGAAATTCAATTAAGTCTTTAGCCTACTGACTACAGATAAGCAACATCTTTGCTCAGAATATGAAAATGAGCAAAACGTTACATAGAAAAAAGCTATATGTATACATAAAATGACTTATATATGAGATTTAATTCTGGAATAAATAATATTTATCTTGCACAACTTCCTTCTCCATGTTATGTAAAATTAAACACAAAATAGAACATAATAATATGAGAGTGAGAAATATTCATAAAAACTAGCAAATGCCAGTTATTAGTCTACACAAACGACAATTGCATTTTTTTTTAGTAAAAGCATTATGCTTGACTCATTATTGTTTTCTACAGGGTGAGTCAAAAAGGAAACCCAAATGGCAGGACCAATTGTTTTAACGAAGTTCTCCATGTAGCGCTATCAAAATCTAGGATATATAAGCCCAATTATATACAAAGCTTTTTTTAGTACGAGAATCATTCAAATCACTTACGTACTTTTTCAGTTTCGGAATTTTAAACACAACTACCGTTTTAAAGTTCTGTCCACGGATTACAAAAAAGGATGTTGTTTCAGAAAAACGAAAATGTGAATTGTTTTCGTTTTGCTGAAAAGAACACACGCCTTTTTTTGATCCGTGGACAGAACCTTTATTTTTGGGTTGGGTTTATAACGCTAAATGCATAACTTTATTAAGTAAATGGTCCTGCCATTTGGGTTTTCTTTTTTGCTCTTACTGAAAAGCATTCACTTAACAAACGCTTGATTCTGCTGAATTAATTGCAAAGCCGTTTTTTTTTAACAAAATGGAGTCCTTTTTGTGTACAAACACAAAACAGTACATTAATGAATGTAATCTGCTAAATGCTTTTTTGAGTTAAAAAAAACAGACTATACTTTCTAAACAAGTAAAGCTCCAATGTGTTCTGCTGACGAAGTCCCAGTTACCCAAAATATCAAACTTTATCAGTCAGCAATGTCATACAAAGATTACAAAGTTTGTTTTTTTATTTCAAAACCAAAATAACTAAAAATGGTTAAAAAGTTTAAAAGGACGGTCTCGCGAAAAAGGGTAAAATTCTACTCAGAGTCTAGCTTGGGTCGCGTTGACGTAACACGGCACCGTGAACGCCGTCTTACCACGGACGATGGCTGTCCCAGTGCCGAACAAAATGGCGCCTATTAGGCAAGGAGTTGCTCCAATGATGATGACGCAGACGACTGTTTCGAGGGTGTAGAGTTTTCTGCAACGGTTGAAATTATATAATAAAAGTGTTTAATGATTTATGACTATTTGGAGTGGCATGTCAATTTTGAGGCTCTCATATTGTCAATTTTGAGGCTCTCATCCAAGGCCCGTTCAAAATATGCTACGTTCACACGTAACATATTGTATTAACACTGAATAATCGTGCTAGTGTAACAAGATATGTGCATGGGCGACGCGGGGGGGGGGGGCGGCAAAGCAACCCAAAAAGGGGGAGGAAACTCGAAAGAAAAACAAAAAAAGAGGTGTGAAGTCATATTGCTTCGAATTTAATACACATTTAACAAAATGGGCACCCGCAGGGGTGTCATTGGGGCTGGGGTGGACAAAATGTCCCCGCCCGCTCTCGAAGAATGATAAATTGAGAATATGCTAGAGAAGGTACAGGGATTTTTGGGGGAAATGTGCTTTGCCCACCCCCCCCCCCCCCCCACCCCCACCCCCATCAAAATTCCTGGCGATGCCCATGGGGATGTGAAGGAAATGCTTTTCATATAGACATACACAATTTTGAGAACATTACTATGATGCAGATCTCGATTATCGAATTGCCTTCATGCAACGAAGAGTTAAATGAAAACATTATGAAAAGACAGAATGAGATACATACGAGGGTACTTCTTGGTATATTCTCCGCAAGCGTAGGTAGCAGAGGCAAGGCACTATCAAGGCAAGGATGGGCGTAAGGAATCCGCCAGAGATGGAAGACAAGAGCGTGAAGTGAGGCAGTGTCTCTTGGACGAAGATCTGCCCGAGGAGCACCGAGGAGCGAAGAACCACTCGCTTCCAGCTAAAATCTGAGGGATAAAGGGAAGGGGAGATTCAATTAAAAGCGATTCTTGGACCGCTTTGTGGCTGTGCAATTACAGTTTCGAACTGCAAGCCGAACTGAGCTTCCCGAGTCGGAACTACTATTGGCTCCGGGCGGCACTAACACACGTCTCTCTCGATTGTAGATTCAGACGCTTGCGCTATTGCTTGTGGTAGCCAAGAAATTCGGAAGCGAGCTAATAATCACAGGAAAAGTCCTTAGCTTTTTTCCTTGAGAAATGCAACCTTTGCTTGTTAATATATTATTATTATTATTATTATAATAATATGAAATATAGGCCTAAAGCTTTTCTTGAAAATGTTTGAAAAGTTTCATGCCACATTTTTCCCGTTATCTGTCCTCATACTTTCCAGGCTAGCCCATGTATGTTCTATCACTATATACTACACTCAAAGATACAGACAGTATCTCACGATTACAATTACATCTAGGCCTATATGTAGTTGGTGTGGAAATTTTTAGTTGCTCAAATCATTCGTTTACAATGGCAGTTTGGGATTGGGAGATTGAAATTTATTACAGGCTATATTCATGAACTTTATACTACGGGAACCGGACACGAAATCTGAAAAGAAATTTGCCAATGTGCTTACCTGTTGGTATATTTAGAACCTCTTCCAAATACTGGAACAGCGGGTTGTTCACCAGCAAGACGCCACCAGCCAGATGGACCAAGATGAGCAGAGCAGCGACTTTCTTGAGGGCGTCCTCCGGTAGCAAGTCGAAGACGATGGCGGTACCCGTCACGTTGGTCAGCGTGTCGCCGAAAATGATGAGCAAGACCAGCATCATGGGCAGGGCGAGGAATAACGTCACTGCAATGATACACAAGAATAAGGGGAATTTAACAGAGCTTTCTAAGTACAAGCATTTGCTGAGCACGGAAAAGATACGGCTAAACAAAACAGTAGGGTCATCATGGGCAGGGCGAGGAATAACGTCACTGCAATGATACACAAGAATAAGGGGAATTTAACAGAGCTTTCTAAGTACAAGCATTTGCTGAGCACGGAAAAGATACGGCTAAACAAAACAGTAGGGTCTCGGACCAAGAAACTGAAACTGCTGACTTAGGATTTGTGCGCCTGTTCTTCAAGCGTGAGCACATGAATTCTGCGCTTACCGTATACCAATGAGCACAGACAAGATACGGGATGTATGCAAGCGGGCATTTGGCTGAACAAATGGAAAATGTATGAAATATTCGAAACTGCACGCATCGCAATCCTCAAATGTGGTATGAATTAAAGAGGACAACCTTTCATTTGAGTGATGTGCCAGTGAGATGGATGGAGTATGGTTAAATTCCTTTATTTTTTTTCAAACTGTGGCTTGCACCCTACAAGGGCGGATCCAGGGGGGGGGGGGCAAAGGGGGCCATGCCCCCCCCCCCAAAAAAAAACGAAACCATTTTTTTTTTTTTTATGTAACATCGCAATAAAGGCAGGCAATGAGTACACCACCATCTTTTCCTCAAAAAAACATTGGTTTAAAGTGGTCAGAAATTGCCTCAGATCGCACCACAGAGCATCTAGAATCCAAAAAAAATTTCGGGGCCCTTAAGCGGGCCCCGAACCCCACGCCGTAATTTTTTTGACCCACTTTTTTTGGGGGACCAATTTTTTTGGCCCCCCCCCTAAAATTGTGTTCTGGATCCGCCCTTGGCACCCTAATGATGTAAGCGCATGCACAGTATGGGGAACTTTCAAATACAGGGTATTTGAATTTTTGTTAATTTGTTTCCTGTCCATGTTACATCTGACATCTATGATTTTATAATTCTGGTGCACTCCTTAGTGCAATCGTCCTCCAAGAGTGATTGTGAATATAGCAAACCACCTACCCAGCAAATAAACAATAAATGTTTGAAGCCATTCGTAGTGATACTTCAGTGGCAAAATACAAAGCACCTAGGTAACAGGGACAGACAAAGATCACACTTTGGACCCAAAAAATACAGGTTGATCCATATCTTCGTACACTGATCATACGTTGAAGATATGACTTCATTTTAAAATATCCTGCTTGCAAGGAACGCAACGGAACGGATTGAGAGTGTTGTACGAGTTTGGGAATCCATTTTTGGAAGCTCATTATGCTTTGAATTGGTGAAATATTATACCAGTGCACAATTATAATGCAAATGCTCTACCAGACGCCAAACCCTTTAAAAACACCCATTGCGGTTGAGTGTTTTAACCAATGTATATAGTACAATGATATAATTATACCAGTGATACACAAGTCATGCTATTATTATACCAGTGTACATGTACAATAATGCAAATATAATACCAGATGGCAAAGCCATAAAAACAAACTATCGGGGCAGTTTAGTGTAACAAAAGTGAATATTTATAGGTTACAATTATATGCAATTATAGGCCTATATTATAATAGGAAGCATTTTGTTCGGATCAGATCACACTGGAAGAAATAATGATGACTGGATGCATATCTGCATAACAGTTATTTGTGATGATTATTTTGCCCACAAAAATTAGCGCAGATGTAGTAGGCACAAACATTAATTGTCGGAGCCAGAATTGAAGAAGTGAATCAAGCGCGCGCTCTCCAGGCACAATAACAAAATTATTCAAAATAAAAGGATGAAATGGCCTAAGATGGGAATATTTCTTAGGAACTATTTTGTGCTACTTTATAATACCCTTAAGTGTATGAAAACTAATTGACATAACTTTATGATTAATTTTACTAAGAAGTGCACTTCTTTAATCATTAAATGAAAATTGAAAGTAAGGTATAATGGGACACAAAGGTGCATTTTCAAGAATTGCATGAAAACAAATTATGTTTCACTCGCCCTTTGAAGAAAGCTGAATATCGCAGTTAAAACAAAGCCCTTCCGCACTCTGGATTCGCCAATAATAACAAGGGAAACATCGACAAACAACCGGAAATCTATAGGACGGACAGACGAAGACACTGGTTCTATTATTGCGCTTGCACTCACGTAGGTCAGCAATGATGATGGCTTTAGTGAAGCCCTGTGGCTGTTGCATGTCTTGTTGCAAAGTCGGAATAACACTGTGCTGTCCCATCAGCCAGAAAACCGTCCCGGCTACTTCAGCGAGGTGCAGAAAATCGCTCTCTCCGTGAAGCTCTCCATGGGTGGTGACCGTGGTGTTGCTAGTCCCCTTGGACATGGAATCGCCAGCCACAAATATTGATATGATGACGAAAATCACAGACAGGACGACGGTGAAAAAGCTGCCTGCTAATACCAACCTGTCGGACGGAGAAACAATTAAAAACAACATTTTTTTTCTGGTATAAAACACTACAGTTTGGTTTATCGGAAGTGCACGGGCAATGTGGCTTCAAAGCCTGCTGTAACCCTTTTTATACAGCTAACATTTTTTGTTGGACAAAAATTTAAAAATCAAAAAAATAACATTGACAGTACATTTACAAAATATATGGCAAATATATAAATTTTAAAAAATAAGGGAGGCGGGCATGAAGCTTGCTCGGGCCTACATGTTTACATGGCAACAACCTAAGGCCGTACATTTTTATTCTCATTGAAGTTCTATTTTCGGCAGTGCTATTTTCGGCATGTTTTTCAATTGTACAATACATAAAAAGATCAACTTTACAAGCAGATGAAATAAATTGCGAATTTGCAACAGGGGTGTTTTTTTATGCAGTTTTATAACCTAATGGAAATCACTCCTCTATCGAAACACATAATAAAGGCAATAATTTTGAAAGACCAAGAAGAGTTCAAAGTGTGGTAAGTGCTTTTTTATTCACAATAAAGGATTTTAGCTGCGGGATATAGCGGCTCAACGAATCATCATGTCTCTCTGTTAGTTCGTTAGAGATAGTTAGTAAAAAAACGCTGACAATTGTTTATTGCACTTCATTATATATTTGACCGATTTCAACCGAACTTTGTCAAAAGTATCAGTACCCCAGCTCTAACATGTCACATGACCAAACTGGGGTCAAAGTTCATTATTGGGTCACCAGCGTCAAAAATTGATTTTTTTTTAAACTGAAAACACTGCTCCTTTCAGAAATTACATGGCACAGTCATGCGACTCATGCATGAACACGAACGAATTCGTTGGCCCGAGCTTCCGAGATATTTCCGATCCAGCTTGTCAGTTTCAGAATAATTCTCTGGGACTCTGGGAAATCCAGATCAAATGAAACGTTTCAGCAGAGCTCGGACACACGAATTTTCTAACGAATAAATATTGCTGAAAATACCAACCAGAAATTCTTTGGAGTAGCTAGCCACAGAAAGGGACAGATGATTACCCCAAACACAGGAGGCCAGTAGCACAGAGTACCTTCCAGTGCGGGCCCGCCTATCGTTAGGGTCATTTCAGTGAAGCCCATGAGAAAAACAATGGCGTTGGTGAAGCAAGCGACAGCTACTAAAACATTGACAACACCTCTGGGGGATAAAAACATAATAATAAATAACATTTTAAATTACGAAGATTATGATGCAATGGGAGACAATCGGTGTCGATTTTAAATAAGGGACCCTTCCCTTTTGATTAGCATGTTTGAAGGCATATAGGATCATTTGCATTTATCCCATAAGTGACCTACCGATTTATTGTCAAAAAATTACTTGGATTAAATATTGTATTGTATTGTTTTATTTCCATTTGTCACAAATTAATATAATGCAAATGCAACAGATTATTTACTACAACAATAACTAAAATTAATAGAATGATAATACATGTAAAACACTTTGATCAATTAAACATAAATGGTGACAGATGGGGGAACCAGGAAAAAAGCCTAAGCTTATACAGAGCCTGGTCCCGTTTGTGAATAACTTATGAAATAAACAACAATTATAGCTATAATTTAAAACAGTGGTCAATAAATTAATTAATTAATTATTTACTTGGCATAATAGTAGAAAAACTGAAGGAAATTAAAATATACATGTACCAATTTACAATATAACATTTGATTATGATGGAGTGTGACTTATACAAATGCGAATTATGGGTGCACGTCTTATATAATACCGGAAATAAGTAGGTTTTTTTTTAGATATCTTTTGAATTTATGCACAGTCCGAAAGAAGGGTATAGGGGTAAGCTGATTCTAAAGAAGAGGGCCTTGGTGTCCAACTGTTTTCATGAATGATGCGGTCCTAGCCTTGCCAATGTGAATTTTTTTGGCTGATCTTGTGTTATGTAAATGGACATCTAGATTCCTCACAAACATGGACCTGATATTTGTAGGTAGTAGTTTGCCTTCGAATTCAAACATTAGGATTCCTAGATGGTATTTGTACAGTTCAAAAATATTCAGTGTTTTATATTGTCTAAAAAGGGGCGCAGAGCGTGGAACTGGTACTAAACACCACGTGAAATTCTTCCGTCTGGCTTGCTGTTATTTTGCATAATGACAAGTAGCTGTATAGCTACGATAGCTTGTGCCATAATGTTGTTTTAGTTAGTCTTTAAAATGCTACCTTCACTATCTATATGTAACTTGCAGACTAACACAGCTGTATTCATCTTTGTCATTAAGAAGAAATCAAGAAATATAGTTCATTTCCAACGATCAGTCAATTGACTGATTTTTGGAAATAAAGAGTCCATAGAAGAAATAGTGTTTCGTGATCCAAAGATTGTGCACGGTTCTTCACATGGGCGTCGTAAGGGGGGGGGGGGGCCAAGGGAGCGCTTGCTCCCCCCGGAAAAGACACCCACAAAAAAAAGAGAAAAAAGAGGGGAAAACAGAGGAAAATGATAAATCGAGAATATGTTGGGAAATACAGGGATTGTAGGGGAAAACGTGTTTTGCCCCCCCCCCCGCCCTCTAGAAAACAAATCTTGGGGACGCCCATGGTACTAATGTCTCGAAAAGTGTTTTATCTATATTGAGCTGAAATTGCAACAGGTTAGGTTTTTAACCTTCTTCTTTGGATTTTGACATCAAGAAAATGCATGAAAAGTCAATGATCCTATACATGCCTCCTTCAAGGCAGTTTAAGAATAGTATCAACATTCAAGCCTAGGACCTATTTCAGGGTTAACGTTTCAGAGCATGAAACATAAAGCTCTCATTGACTCCTAAAGTCCAACTCATTTTCTCCCCTGCCAGTTTCTGAGAGAAGAATCAAAAATCCTACCGTGCCCAGTCACCGAAGGCCTCCTGGCCAATAGCGCCGTACGGATGCCGCTCACTGCCCCACTTCGCCCGTACCATATTCCAGCAGCGACCCAATATGATCGACGTGTACAGCAAGGCGGCATACAAAAGGCCGAAGAGCAAGAAACCAACCCAACCTTTCAGGAAAGATTTTAAAACATTCATTTCAAACCAATTTTTGTTTATAAATTATGGTTTATGGGCTTCGTGCTTAGGTACCTCCTCAACGATAAGAAAATAAGAGTTGGGGAGACCAATGGGAGAGACCATAATCGTTTGTGTGCATATTCCAATTCAATTGATTTTGGGCAATTTAAAACAATTTTCCCCATGAGTCTATGCCAGAATGTCTTATGAGCTTCGTGCAAAGGTGCCCACTTAACGGTAAGAAAAAGAAAGCTGCAGGAGGCCACTGGAAGAGACCATGTTGTTTTTGTGGCTATTCAAATGCATTGACCCGCTCGAATGCAAATAATAAAATATCTTTTCATGAGCATACAAAATTATGATGTGATTCCCACAGATGATGTAGAAAGCACTGCTGCATTGATTTGGATTTGTGGCTGCAATGCAGTGCACAATTATTAGGCTTAATTTTACTATGGTTTCAATTCAATTCAATTCAATTTATTTATTCTCATCATGTAAAAACATGAAACTTGTCTCCTCGTTCTGCACACGTATAGTCATATACACATTTAAAAACTTCACATTAAAACCATAAAAACATATACATGTATGTACAAATAGACGTAACAATATGGAAAAAAACTGACAAGAGTACACGTAACCAGAAATAGAACAACAAATTTAGCCTATTTAAATAAATAAATGAATAAAATATCCGTTGTGTAATGCCAAAGTTCAAATATGATTCACGACGTCACTCACCGGTGCTAACGACAAGAACGTCGACGGCTAGAAAACCTAGACCGGCACAAATACCCGATATGGAAACAGCTGTCTGCCACATATTGATGCCATCTGCCTGTGGTGTCAAATATTATTACAGAACTTGATAACGGTGTATAAATTAGGAAATAACGGTTGAGTGGTCCTGGTTGGTTTTAAAAAAAAAGCACAATAAAAAAAAAATAATAATAATAATGCTAACACCTGTGTTCTGTAGTTTTATATGTTCATATGCTACGTGTTAATGCACTCAAACCCCCAACAAGTGTATGGTCTAGCTGTACTGTAAATTCTCCGCTGTAGGGTTTATCTAAACAATAATAGAAGATCACACTCGTGTGATTCACCCGGGTTAGTTGAATGTCTTACTGTTTCACATATTGTGTCCAAATATCCATATTTTTTTTCTAGTGTATGAAACACTATCAACTGGGTATGCTGTTGCTGCATGCATGGCCACACTTTTCTGTTTTCTCATTAACTGCATTCATGCAGAGAGGTCGCCTGTTGACTTACTGCCATGTACTAAAACAACAGTTTGAAGCATAAAAAAATTGCAAGATTCTGGCATATTTGTAAGCAGAAGCTATATGTAATTGTATATAACACTGTCTTTTACGCCTTTAATGAGTCACAGTTTTGGCCACGAATGTGGGAACGGGCATTAGAATTAAAACCAACCACGCATCAAAGCACAATCCAAAAATTATATTAAATGGGCCCTTTAACTTGACCAATAACTTACATTAGAAGATTCGCTGTCTTTGGTATCCTTTTCATCTCCTGACGTATTTCCCGTGCTGACATGTTGCGACCTCTCGATCAGTCTTAATGTTTGGCCGTCTGTTGATTCGGCCATTCTGCTGTTTTCCTCTTATCAACAAACTACAACAGAATATGGCACAACAAACAAGACTCCAAAATCAGCAGACCCTACAACAGTGCCACTGCCTGTTAGGCAATATAAAGTAGGCCCTATGAGTTCAAATATTCAATCGTTGTGATCGGCTACTTTTTTGTTGTGTTCTCTCGTTCCAGTTGCCAGCATTGGCATTGCTCCTTTCATTCTGAATTTACAGATCATCGGTCATGCAGGGATATAACAATATTGTCTGCGATATACTGTGTATACTTTTCTATCAAACGACAAATTGAGTAGGTGTAAATTATTGCTGGTATACCTGCATGTACAGCGAACGTACTTATTTTTTTTGCCCCGCAGCGAACAACCTGTAAAATGACATATCTTCAGATCAGTTAAAAAGTTTCATTTTTTTTGTAAAGCTATCACAAGAGAAAACGTTATAATAAATACCACTGATATAATGAGTGGAGTATGAACTTTTAACTGTAACCGTCGGACCAGCCAGAATCCATAACGTTGTGTGTGGCTGAGCTGTTTTCTGGTTACTTATCCTGTCATGACAATGTCATAGTGACCAGTCTTCAAAGGGTAGCTAAAGAAAAGAATATTTCTAATTTTGTTCTGAACAGAATTTGTACATATTTGAAATAAGAAATGGTTTAATTGTCGCTCTCGGTATCGGTTTTCTTGGTTCTTCCGTCTCCGGCTTGGGTTTCAGGAAACGTTTGGCTTCAGCTCAATATACATGTATATTCATGATTTAGGAACATCAATTCCTAAAACTTGTTGAGGCGAACGGTTCGAGTGTTTCAATTTTGTGTGGACATTGAGGACTTCTAAAATATAATCCTTGGGCCAGCCAAAGACGAAGAGGGAGATGAAAAAAACAACATTTTAGGTTTAGAAAACGCGTTCTCGATTTACAACAATTGCTCACTGACGTTTGTAACAAATGAATACAGCTTAAGTGTAGGCTATTCCATATACTGCGCTTTTACCAAATGACGGAAACACGCTGTTTTAAAAATGACAAGTACTAAGTTTGAATTTATCGAAAGATGATGTACTCCGGAAGATGATGAGGAGATATCGCAACAATCAAATGCCCGGGCAAATTCTACATCTGTCATCAATTTGGATTAAACAAATAAGTCGAGAATTCTGCAAATTGCAACGTGCACAAAACTTTATGTTGTTTTCCCTAAACCTAACTTTGACAGTTTTCAGCAATTTTGGTGCGGTTATATGGAACGGCTAACCTGCTAAGGTCCAGAATGGATCTTCTATTGATGGTTTGATATACGTAAATACGAAATTTCATGTTAAAAGTCTTTTTTTTTTCATGTTCATAATTGCTTATTTTGCCATTAATTTTTACCAGTGCTATTTTACAGAACAACTTACCTGTTTGGGTCAAGAATGAATCACGAACGGTTTTATAAACGTAATGGGCGGGGAGGGGGTTGAAGAAAAATATTTCTTTAAGGCCAAAAAAAATAAATAAGTCGGTCTCTGGTCAGCGCGCGCGTCGATTTTAACCATGGGCGTCAATCTTTTTTTTTCAAAGATGTTCCGCGGTAGCTCCAACAGCGCCCTCTATTGCCGCACCTCCTCAATTTTTTTTTACCAAAGAGCACCGAGGAATGGGAAATTGCACCAAGGCAAATGATCGAGAGAACCAAGGCAAATTATGGAGGACACCAATGTTCATGAGGACACCAAAAAAGCAAAATAGTACCCCACCTTGTCTGTACAATCCAAGCTTGAAGGAAAAAAAAAAAAAAAAAAAAAAGCCGCGTCCCCGCGTCAATTCTGGAACTTTGGTCTGACCAGACACCGAATATTTTTGTTTATTTGGCCTAATGTACATTTTTACCATCTTAATAATTAATCATTATTATTGTTATATTAATTGTTCATTTTACTATTTTACCATTTTATATTATTTTTCTCTCACTATTGTTAAATGTTTTCATTTCTTATCACAGGACCATAATGTAAAACAGCCTTTGAGCTGATTGTTTGTGTCCTGTATAAAGATTTTGAAATAAATTAATCAATACATAAATGAACTGGCTGCATCAGACTTGGCCTAGCTATGCTGGGGCATGCCACGCACTGCGATTTATGTGGTTCCACACATTACCAAATAATTTGGACACGAGTACATTCAACTACACCATCCAAACTGACTTACCTCACTGGAGGAAAGTACTCCTTCAATGTCTGGTCGCACATGTACCGTTTGGTCTAAACTATGAGTTAATCATTGCTGAAAACGGGCGGTGCAGACCACAGTAATGTTAAGGCGAACGGACGAGGAACTGTATATTCGTTCAAACAATTTATATCCTCAGTCATCTGAATGAGTTTGAATTGTTCGCGCAACAAAAGGCTTCCCTGTCCCGTATACAATCGCGGCGGTGCAGACCACCGTGATTTGAACGGAATACGGTCTACTATGTGTGATGTATGGGACGGGTGCGTGTGCAAACACATTCCTGAGTCACATGAAATAATTATAATAACACCGAACGTTGGTTTCCACTCAGCCTGCTGAAAAGTACGAAAGCCCGATAGTGCCATCCCCTTTTTTTGGCAGCAGTTGTTTTTTTCCGAGAACAGTGATTTTTTTTCAGAGCAGTTTATTGGGTTTTTTAAGAGAGCAGTTACTATTTTTCCTGAGCAGTTATTTTTTCCAGAGCAATTGTTTTTTCCAGTGCAGTTTTTTTTTCAAGAGCAGTTGATATTATTTTAGAAGGGGGGCCAGGGGGCGGGGTGGTTTCCGGGAAGAGGCAAGCGATAAAAAAACACTCTAGCGGCGAATGCTTAAAAAGTCTCCAACTTCCCTGAATGGAAACCAGCTACAGGTTTTTAAATAAATTCATTCATAATTTCATTTATTAATTTCATTTTTAAATGAACAATTTATTTAAAATGGATTGTTTACTTAAAAATACGGTTGAGCCATAAACAATAATAAATGTGATGGAAATAATCGGGGTCAATTGTTGTTTACATTACCAACCTTAATTCTGAATCTTGTCGATACTCATATCCTGTGCTCACAAGCTTAATACAGAAAAAAAAAACTTTTTATAATAGGCACTATAAGGCATTTCCTAATGAAACAGGTAGGTGTGATCCTATTAATCACAGAATTAACTGATTTTAAATGTTACAAATTGTCATGATTTTCCACACACACACAAAAAACCAGTTAAGCGGCTTAAACTAGGTTTTCACGTTCAGTGCATGGGGAAAATCTATTTGTTTTTTACCTACCTGCCGTGCGAGGCGCCCTTCCCCATCGTGACCTTTGAGCTAGTACTTCCTGCTTCACTTTTGTGAGCTGACTCCCATCTTTGACTGCATGCGCATGCACAGGCACAGTCTAGGCGTTCGCGCGCGAAACGTGTGTTTACTGAGGTAAAAAAAAATGTTCTCGAAAACAAAATAACTGCTCTGGGAAAAAAATTCTCTCGGCGAAAAAAAATGATTGCTCTGAAAAAAAAAATAACTGCTCTGAAAAAAAATTATAGCTGCTCTGGAGAAAAAATTTGCTCTGGAAAAAAAATAAAATGGTGGCACCAACGGGCTTTCGTAGAAAAGAACTTAACGACAACCATTGTCCACAATTGTGTACAGGTACGTCACTATGTTCGTGGTTCAACAAAATGGTGACGACCTTCATTGTAAAAAAAAACAGATGGCGCCCTGTATTATCCTTGTCAAGCATTAATTGGTGGCGAATTTATCGATTTTCGACTATAAACACACGGCGTGTTGGATCTTAATCGTCGGATATATAATTACATTGTATGGCGGACACAAAAATAGGGAGCTATTGTGAGGGAATACATTCAGACGCGGATCCAGGAGGGGGGTCCATAGAAATTCATAAAAAGCAATGCTTCCCCCCCCCCCCCCTCCCTGCTGTGACCCCCCAAAAATTATACTGATATTAATATACGCCTGTGCACAAAATATGGACAGGGCCTGCTGGGTTTAGGGGATATTTGGCTATAATGTTAATAATCGTCGGATTTGAACAGCGCCCCTATTAAAAGTATGGTACGAGCCCCACCCTAACCCATTGATTACGGAGCCGAGATAACAAAAAAACCTGTCTACATTTCAGCATTGATTTGCTGATGAAACCCCCCACCCTGTAAAAATTGCTAGATCCGCCCCTGATCAGTAATTTGGTAAATACAAAATTATTTCCCCCTCCAAATAGCACCCATTTTGTGACAATCACATCTCTAGAAGGCTTCTGACGTTCTGGGCTCCAATTGAAAGTGGCACTGGGGAGGTGAACATTTTCAATAGCTTTAACATGTAAAAGCATCTGTCGCCGTAGCTTTCACCAAATTTTCGAGCGGGGTGTTTTTTTATTTTTATTTTCTGTATGTGTTCTTTGGACACAAACCCAAAACCAATTCCTAGCAAGTGCCCCAGATACTGGAAGCCCATGTCAATGGGAACGAATGCGGATACACTTTGCCAACTGCAAAAAAACCCATATGTTTGTTTCTAGTATCTGTATTGCTAAGCTGTATTACGTACGACTCCATATGCATGTGCACCATATTAATTTACCGTGTAAAGTGTCCAATGTCATACTAGCGTCGGCATGTTAGTCAGACGCTGCGCTCTGGTCCTGCCACTTCTAGCGGTTATTATAGTTCCAATTACAAACACCACATTTTCATATAGCTGCTTAAGCACAAAATTTGCTTAAGCACAAAAAAAACTGGCTTAGTAACATAGGGATACCGGCCAAAACTCCATGCGATTGTTACGCCAAGTAAACAACAGCTAAATACAGTCACAAGCAATGTACGTCGCATGGAGTTTTCGCCGGTAACCTAATTATATTGAGCAAAGTTTTTTGATCTTAAGCAAATTTTGTGCTTAAGCAGCTTTATGAAATTGGTCCAGGTCCTGCCACTATAATGGTTTTATATTAGTTCAAATTACAAAGACCCAAAACTCTGCAATCTAAAATCAAAATTAGGAGCTATGTTGAAGAATTACATCCCATACGCCTAATATTTAGCAACCACGTGATGAAACAAAGCAAAAATATTTTCCGAAATACAATTTTAAACAAGTCTTCAACCAAGACATGGTCTTGGTGACGTTATTATTGTGTTTTTCCTGAAAAAATGTGCGTAACACTATCTTAATCTTAAGGTCTTTATGTTATGTTATTTAATAATGTTATAGCGACATGGTCTTTGTGATGTTATCATGGCATTCCTGCAAAATGTGCGAGTAATGTTTTTACAATGTTCAACGCGCGTTTTGAGGAAAGTCGTAAGAACAAAGTAATAATGTTTCTAAGACCATGTCGCCATAACATTTTTTGCAAAATATTATGACATTAGTTGCCATTCAAACATTATTTTGATGTCGAAGCATAATGTCAATAAAAACATCAGACAAACGTTTTACATTAATGTCAGGTGTCAGGAAGGTGTTAAAACGTTTCTAAGACCGTGTCGCCATAACATTATTGCAAACTATCATGACAACATTTAAACAAACATGTATACCCCGTCATTAAAACATCAATGTGTTAGCTGGGAATATTCAGCAACAACGAGATAAAACAAAGCAAAAATATTTTTCGAAATTAAATTTTAAACAAGTCTTTACTAACCATAGATAAGCTACACCTTTGCTCGGAATATAAATATATAAACCAAACATAGGACGGACACTCAGGACCGGGGCCCCGAGCCCCGCTGGCGCTCTTTTCAGAGTGGACGGCAGCTGTTGTCGAAGGCGAGGGTGCCGCAATATTGCAGTTAAAAGTCGAGGGTCTCACCACCGCTAAACTCACCATCATTGAACACCTTGCATAAACCATCAAAGCCTGTGTTATATTGATGCAAGAAACACCCTGTGAAACAGCGGAGAAACTAACGATTCCCGAACTCACACTCGCTGCACACATCTTGAACAAACATCACGGCCTGGCTACCTTTGTCAGACAGGATAAAGAGTGGTCTCTGTAGGCACAGTCCGCAGATGACTCTGAACTGGAATGGCTTGCTGCGAAGGCTCAGGATGTAACTATCATCAACGTTTACAAGCCACCCCAAACACGCCTGTCCAAAGCATCCCTACCAGCGGTCACTCATCCCTGCGCCGGCGATTTCAACTGCCACCACACTGAATGGGGTTTCTCCAGATCCAACAATGACGGAACCTGTCTTGTAGAATTGGCATTTGCCAACAACTTGACTCTCCTACACAACCCAAAGGAGCCCGATAGCTTTCATTCTGCCCAGTGGAATTCAGGTTCGAACCCAGACCTAGGTTTTGCTAGCAGCACAAACCAACTCCGTGGAGCTCCGGTCACATGCTGGAGAAATTCCAAAAGTCCCAACCCCCACCATTACTCATTACACCGGTACCACTTGTGGCTCCTACCTCAAGCAAACCAGTGAGACGATGGAACTTTCAAAAAAGCTGACTGGGACAAGTTCACCACCGGACAGCACAGACGCGGACACCTCATACAAGGTATACTGTAACATCAGTGTTCACCAACGAAGCCAAGCAGTTACCCCCCCCCCCATGGATACCAGAGGAACTACATCCCATGCTGGCACGCAGAATGGCAGAAGTTGTATGAAGATCACACAGTAACTACACCCAAAGAGGGATCTGAAGCCACAGCTAACATTTTGATGAAGCGCCTGGATAAGAAACGCCAAGAACGTTGGCTACAGACAGTTGAATGCATTGACTTCACACACACTTCAGCCGAAAAGCCTGGCACACCATCAACCGCCTCACAGGAAGGACCACATTTAAGCCTGTCAAATGCTAATGCAAATTTTGCATTGCAACTACTTCAGAATGGTCATTTTACCAACCCAGACCGAAACTTCTCAAGACAGGTCGGAAAAGAAGTAGCTGAGCTATGGAAGGTTGATGGTAGGAATGTGAATATTACCAACCCCTTCACCACAGAAGAACTGGTAGAAGCACTGAAGTCAATGAAGGCGGGTAAGGCCCCAGGACCAGACGACATCCACCCAGAGTTCCTCTTACATGTAGGAGATGATGCAACTGAGTGGTTAAATCAGTACTTGTCTACCTCGATGGAAAGATGTAAACTCCCCAAAATCTGGCGCAAGGCAACTGTCATCGCCCTCCCGAAGCCCAACAAGCCCAGGGACGGCCGTAAAAATTACAGGCCTATTACACTGCTGTGTATTCCATACAAGCTGCTTGAAAGGATGATTCACGGACGATCAATCCCATCACTGATCCCCAGCTACCCCGGGAACAGGCATGGCTTCCGCAAAGGACGATCAACCGTGGATCAGGTAGCCCTGCTCACTCAGGACATCGAGGACTGCTTCGAGGGCAAGGAGACAGCTGGTGCTGTACTCATTGACCTGACGGCCGCCTATTACACTGTATGGCACCGTGAGTTGACTTTCAAACTGCTACGGATGCTGCCAGACAGACGGATGGTACACTTAATGTTGGAGCTGATCTCAAACCGCAGCTTCGTGCTCAAGACCAGCGACGGGCAACAATGCATGCTACGCCGGCTCAAAAATGGTGTTCCATAGGGATCTGTCCTGGCTCCAATGCTGTTCAACGTGACATCCATGACCTCCCTGATACAATCTCCAATAAGTATGGATATGCCGACGACCTGGTCATCTTGACAACACACAGAGAGCGGAAGACGATAGAAAGCACCCTGAGCGAGGACATGAGCACCTTGGCGCTATACCTGAGACAGTGGCGACTGAAGCTTAGTGAGGGTAAGACAGTCTCTACAGCCTTCCACCTTTAAGAAAGAAGCAAAACGTGAGCTGGATGTGTACATCAACAAGAGGCGCTTGGACTTCCAGACAACCACCACATTTTTTGGCGTCAAGCTCGATAGGACACTTTCCTGCCACCAACATCTTGCTGGACTCTTAGAAATGGTCATGGTTTGCAGTTCATTCATCCGTTAACTCGTGGGCACAGGATGGGGAGCAAGTCCAACACTCCGCACCTCCGCTCTGGCACTCGTGTACGCATCGGCTGAGTATCGCGCACCAGCATGGAGTAGGAGCAGACACACCAGCCTGGTAGATGTGAGCCTTATCTCCACCCTGGATACGTACAACCTACACCAGTTGAGCAGATTCCTTTGCTTGCAGGCATTCCACCAGCTGAGCTCCGTAGGCAGGCAGCAAGCATGGCACTGGCCTGACGCGCCATGGATCCAGATCACCTCCTATACCAAGCCATCAGCAGGGAACAGACACAACCCAGACTCAAATCCTGGCGCCCCTTTGCCTCAAATGGAAAAGATATACTGTCAACTATCCAACCCACTGAGTCAAAGGCCCGCTGGACAGCTAGGATGTGGACACAGAAGTGGCAGTCATCTTCTAACCATCTGCATAGATATATTCCTATACCATCCCAAAGTTGCCCAGGATATGATCTCCCACGACAGGCACGGGTTAAAGTCAACAGGCTTCGCACCGGAATCGGGCGTTTTAATGCTGACATGTGGAGGTGGGGAGCCCAGCTTGTGAATGTGGAGCGGAGCAACAGACTGCTGACCACATCATCTCCGAGTGCCCCCTCTATCGCCCACCAAACAAGTACCATGGTATGATTGATGTTGATGCAGATGCAGCAACTCGAGAGTGGCTTCTCAGCAAGCACCCACAGATCTAACTACTTTCTTGTTTTTTGTTTGTTTCACACGCAAGAAGAAGAATATTAATATGAACCAAACGTTACATAAAAGGAACTATTTGTATACATAAACATGAACAAATTATAACATATAATTTTGGAAAGAGTTTTATTTTACTTGCACAACTGCTTGATACATGTTATGTACACTTAAATACAAAATAGAACATCAGTCAGAAAGAGAAATATTAATTAAACAAAATAAGCAAATGCTAGTTATTAGTTTACTTTGGAGTAAGGAAATTAAGCATTAAAGAAATCCAAATGCTTGAATACATATGAATTATTGTTTACTATTTCGGAGAAGCATTCACTTAACAATTGCTTGATAATGCCGAATTGATTGCAAAGCCAACTGGTTTTTAACTAAAGTGTATATTTCGTGTGTACAAACACATCAGTACTATCATGTGTGTATACGTGCATTTTCTTTTCCGAACGAATTTAAAGGAGTATAATATCCTATAACAAACACAGCTGGTTTTTCTTTTGCAGGCCTTTATACAGTTATAAAAAGTGGTTTTAAATAGCGCGCTCCAATTCAGAAATTGCGCACACTATTCAGAACGAATTAGGAGTGTCCCACTCTTAATTAAAAAGTCGTCTTGTCATTGGCCGACTTTTTCGTACGATGTCTCATTGGAAAGCTCATAACTCATGCATGCTAAAAATGTATCAATTAAATTTGACAATATATTTGTGAAGGTGCCACAGTCAAAAAGCACGTATACATCAACTTCAATGAATTTAATCCTTGAAATCAGCTCCATGCTGCAGAAATCTGAGTCGAAGAAAGCAGACAATATACTTTCTAAAAACGTGGGAAGCCCCAGTGTGTTTTGTTGACAGAGTCCCAGTTACCTGAAATATACAACTTCATTAGTCGGTAATATCATACAAAGATTACAAAGGTTTTATTAAAAACACAAAAACAGAATTTTAAAGAGGGTTAAAAGTTTAAAGGGTCGATCTTGCGAAAAAGGGTAAAAGCTCTCTCTTCTCACAGTCTAGCTTGGGTCGCGTTGACGTAACACGGCACCGTGAAGGTCGTCTCACCACGGATGATGGATGTCCCAGTGCCGAACAAAATGGCTCCTATGAGGCAAGGAGTTGCTCCAATGATGATGACGCAGACGACTGTTTCGAGAGTGGAGAATTTTCTGGAACAATCGAAATTATATATAAAGAAAGATAAAAGTTAAATGATTATGATTGTTTGGAGTGGCATGGTAAAAGAAAATAATGCACGTGTAAGGACTGTCGGTTCATGTGACACTAGTCAACTAAAGACCTTGATGAACCAATCAAACCTACTTGAGGCTACAAATAATATTGTCAATTTTGAGCCTTTCATCCTAGGCCCGTTCAAAATATTCTACGTTCACACGTGACATAATTAACACTGAATTATCGTGCTAGTGTAAGAAGGGATCTGTAAGGAAATGCTTTTCATAGACATAAAAATACAAAAACATGAGAAATTGCTGAAATTGGATATGATGCGAGACATCTTAGATAGAATGTTTACAACAATAGTTCAATCGCTAATTTCTGCATAATTTTGTAACGGCTACAGTTGGTAAAAATAATAATCATCATCAAACCTACGATTTTGGTACGAACAACACAGAATTTTGAGAACATTTACTTATGATAAAGATCTCGATTATCGAATTGCCTTCATGCAATGAAGAGTTAAATGAAAACATTATGAAAAGACTGAATGAGATACAAACGAGGGTACTTCTTGGTATATTTTCCGCAAGCGTAGGTAGCAGAGGCAAGGCACTAGAAAGGAAAGGATGGGCGTAAGGAATCCGCCAGAGATGGAAGACAAGAGCGTGAATTGAGGCAGTGTCTCTGTGACGAAGATCTGCCCGAGGAGAACGGAGGAGCGAAGAACCACTCGTTTCCAACTAAAATCTGAGGGATAAAGGGAGGGATATTCCATTAAAATTTTGGACCGTTTTTGTGGATGTTCAATTACCAGTTTGGAACTGCAAGCCGATCTGAGCTAGCCTCGTTGGAGCTACTAGTGGCTCGGCCAGCCGGCACTACTAACAATCGTCTCTGGAATTTTGCTTCTATCCCAATATGTGCTCGTGTTATTGCTTGTGGAAGCCCAGGAATGCGTATGTGACCTAAAGCCGGCCTCGGGTCGACCAACGATTTTTTTGCGCCACGACGGAACCGTCGCCATCAAGCACAAAAATAATGCTCAGGTCACAAAACTGAGAAATCGTGTGATGGTCGCGGAACACGTCGCAGAAGTTGAAATTTTCTACTCTTGCGACTGTTTATTCTTTTGAGCGCCGGCTGATGCCGATCATCTTAATATCGTCGCAGCTACACTCAGGTCGCAAAAAATCGGCGACTGAGTTGTTCCCGACGGTCGACGCAGCTTGATCCTGAAAAGTCAGTCGCCGACTGATCTGTGTCGTCGCAAGGCCGACATGAGGCCCACAGAAAAAGTCGTTCAAGTTTGCTGTCCCTTGATAAATGCAACCATTACTTTTTGATTGGCTATATTCATTGATTTTATACTACAGGGACTGGACACGAAATGTGTAAAGAAATTGGTCAATGTGCTTACCTGTTGGTATATTTAGAACCTCTTCCAAGTACTGGAACAGTGGGTTGTTCATCAGCAAGATGCCACCGGCCAGATTGACCAAGATGAGCAGAGCAGCGACTTTCTTGAGGGCGTCCACTGGTAGCAAGTCGAAGACGATGGCGGTGCCCGTCACGTTGGTCAGCGTGTTGCCGAAAATGATGAACAAGACCAGCATCATCGGCAGGGCGAGGAATAACGTCACTGCAATAATTATGATACACAAGAACAAGGGGAGTTTAACGGAGCTTCCTAAGCACAGACATTTGTTGAGAAAAATAATAAGGGAAAACATATGGCTAAGCAAAATAGTAGGGCCTCGTACTAAGAAACTGAAACTGCTTACTTAGGATTTCTGCGCCTGTACTTCAAGCGTTATAGCTAATGAATTCGGCGCAATAGCCGTACCAATGAGATACTGAATGTAAAGCGTGAATGGCTGAAAAATTGAACATTTTTATGAAATCTTCAAAACTGCAAGCATCACAACCTTAAATGTGGTAATCTTAAAGGGAACAGCATTCATTTGGGTGATGTGGCAGTGAGATGGAAGGAGTAAGATATAAGTTCATTTGTGTTTTTCAAAATTTTTTTAGTTTCTTGGGCTAAAATTATGGAGTTGAGTTAGATATTGCACCTTGTTTTTACATGCACAATGCAAGTGCTAGTATTATGTGTTTTAGTTTTTCAGTTTTTGTTTGATTTTTAATTTCGCATATGTTTCAACTGGTACCAAAAATGGGCGGACAAACTGTATAACGCGAGTTACCATATCGTGAGTTACCAAAATTTATATCTTATAGAGATGTTGATCGTGTTGCGCCTGATCAATTTTTAAAACTGAAATGGTAGCATACATCCTCACACATTCAAATGCGAGGTATTTAATTTTGTAAGTCATCTTCTTGTTACGTGAGTTACCGATAAAAGAGAGAAAAATTATTGCCAAACCAACAGATGTACATTTTGTTTGCCTTTTTAAAAATAGTTTACTCACTTAATTTCAAGGGATCTTCTGTGAAAAAAAATCGACCCTTAAGTCTTTGTCTGGACCCAAATGCAACGTGACCCAGCTGACCCAAATGCAACGTGAGTTACTATGGAATTGCCCCAAGCCCAGAAGCCCGTAATCCTAGCGTTATGGTCCCGCTCCAGTCAGTTTCTGTGATCAAACTCTTTTTTGAAAATTGGTGCCTTTAATTAGTGGCTGACGGCATAGGCAAAATTGACAAAAGTAATTTATCCAAAAACAACAGAGTTCACGAGCAAGTAAGGCAAACAACGACAGCCCCGTATCAAATCTGTCCAATAACGCATGCGGGAATATCAATGGAAACCATTCATGTTTATTGTTGGAAGGTACAATTAAAGACCTTGTTTATAATCGCTTAAGTGGGTTAAAGTTTGGAGATCACTAGAAATTACGTACTTGTCATCAATTCTATCCCTCACTCTGGATTCGCCAATAATAAAAGGAAACACCGACAAACAACCGGAAATTCATAGGACAGACAGACGAAGACACCAGTTCTATATACATTGTAGTACAACCTCGTCCCCAGTGCTTACTTTATTTCCAACCTTGTTTCCAATAGTAAGCCCTGGATAGGAAACTTTCTTCCTGTATCCTGATTAGATATCGCAATTGGCTAGTAATGGATTTTTATCGTGTACTTGGTGTTGTTATTCACAACGTGCAGTACATCTTTTCGCGATCATTCGTCCACGCCTTCTTGCATATTGTCTCGATAAGGTCGTAACAGTTTCATTAAATAAATCGTGTTTTCGTAACTCACGCTGTGCTCGCGCTGACACTGTTTTTACCCCAGACACCGCATACAAAAACGAACGATAATGTAACGCACATGCAGGCACCAGACTATTCCTCATTTGCATACGTGTTCAAAAATCTTGCACATGCAAATGATCCAATACCAGGGTGAGAGATTAGGTAGTCATGGGTGCGTACTGATCGACACCCTGGGGTCGAGGTTGATAAAAGTACGCTTGCACTCACGTAGGTCAGCAATGATGATGGCTTTAGTGAAGCCCTGTGGCTGTTGCATGTCTTGTTGCAAAGTCGGAATAACACTGTGCTGTCCCATCAGCCAGAAAACCGTCCCGGCTATTTCAGCGAGGTGCAGAAAATCGCTCTCTTCATAATGCGCTCCTTTTGTGGTGTCGCTAGTCCCCCTGGACATGGATTCGCCAGCAACAAATATTGACATGATGACGAGAATCACAGACAGGATGATAGCGAAGAAACCGCCTGCTAATACCAACCTGTCGAACGGAAAAACGATTAAAACAACATTCGGTTTCTTTTCTGGTAAAAAACACTACAGTTTGGTTTATCGGAAGTGCACGGGCAATGGGGCTTGGTAGCCTGATAACCATAACCCTTTCTACATAGCTACAATTTTGGTGGAAACAAATTTTAAAAATAATTGCATATCGCGTAACATAATACAGAGCGCGTGACACAGGTTTTTTTTATCCATGTCTATGACGTGACAACGGCTGAATGACCGAAGACCCGAAATAGAAAGCGCCCGCTGATTGGTTAAAATCTAGAGGTCAGGATGCGGTTGTCTTGCATAATTAACCAGCGAATCTTCTCAAATGAATAGACCAACATGTCACATGACCAAACTGGGGTCAAAGGTCATCACGGGGTCACTTTTTACTATTAAAATCACCACTCCTTCTAATCTAGGGGCTAGACGTTGTTATGCTTTGATACACGATAACCCGGCGCGCGTATTTTTTGTTTTAGGAGAGTTGGGGCCAAGTCATACATAATTCAGAACGCAAACCCAAGATAGGCTTTACGTCTTGTGAGAAATATTCCTACCTCCTTTTAGTTATTTAAAAGGTAAAATGAGAAGAAGTGAAAAACGCTCACGGAGATTCGAACTCGGATCACCTGAAGGGAAGGGAAGGCAAGACTACTTCCAACCAGTCCACCAATCAGCTACCAATCGTCGGCGATTTATACACATTATTCCTTGTTAAATAACTTATTCTCTAAAGCCTGTAGCATAAAGTAGAGAGAGAGTGCCCTCTTTTGATATAGTCCGATCTTGCTTGGAACAAAAACAAATCGCCACCCAGCTTAGCAATAACCAGCCGCCGCGAGAGGATGCTTTCAAGACCAACCAATGTCACCCGCACGAATCTCTGTAGTCTTCAGAATTTGCTATTTTTTTTCAACAATTTTGAGTTCATCTTAAAAATATTATTTTGCAGTCGGTTACTAATTGCATAGCAGCAATGTTCTTTTTATTTTCCGATTCGAGGCTCTGGATGATTTTTATTTAAAGAAGGAAATAAAGTCCGTTATCCGCACCAAGTTGAATAACAATAGCCTCCACTCAAGCCTGGTAATAAAACCATGCTCCGTAGGAAAGCGCACAAAGTACTCCAGATAGTTGTGTAAAACAAATATATATCGCGGCCGGCTAGACGGCTTGCTATGCGATAACCCGCCGCAGCAATAGCGAGCCGCCGCGCGACAGGGCGATGTCAAGACCAAACAATATCACTGCATGCACCCACGTCCTACTGAAAGTGAAATGCGCGCGCACTGTTTGGCCTAATATTATGCAGAGCGCATTCAAACAAATCATGGTACTTCCGAAGCAAACTCTTAAATTTCTTCCAGCAATGTGAAATATGCAACAAGACGTATGTACAACTTAACTGGCCAGCTCTTTAATTGGTTGCGTGTCGTACAGTATGTGTGGGACTGAAAATTATTGCCTGCAGAGGTCGCGCATGCGCACTAGTTTCCACCATTTTTCGGAGGGGGGGGGGGGGGGTTTAGGAGATGGCCTAGACGTTGATCCAGGTACGCACGGGCTAGTGGGAGATGATATTTGTTGGTCGTGATAGCACCCTCTCGCGGTGGCAGGTTGTCGCGTAACCAACTAACTTCTAGCCCCTAGACTATGGTCCTTCCATGTGACTCATGTACAAACACGAACGAATTCGTTGGCCCGCAGGCTTCCGAGATATTTCCGATCGAACTTGTTTTCAGAATAATTCTCGGAAAATCCAGATCAAATGCAACGTTCCAGCAGAGGTTGGACACACGAATCTTATAATGAATAAATCCTTTGAGAATACTAACCAGAAATTCTTCGGAGTAGCTAACCACAGAAAGGGACAGATGATTACTCCAAACACAGGAGGCCAGTAGCACAGAGTACCTTCCAGTGCGGGCCCGCCTATCGTTAGGATCATTTCAGTGAAACCCATGAGAAAAACAGTACCGTCGTTGAAGCAAGCGACAGCCACCAAAATATTGACAACACCTCTGAGGGATAAAAATTAATAAATAACAATTTTAGATTACGAAGATTATGATGTAATGGGAGACATTGTCAATACACTTCCGTTTTTTTTTCTTATTTTACGGCTTTGTTGTGGGACTTGGGTGCGGACGGTGGTGGAGACCAGTGAATGTTTCATTGCCATGTTTAAAGACATATAGGATCATTTCTATTTATCCCAAAAGTGACGTTCTGAATTATTGTCAATAACATTACTCGGATTAAAGATGGAACTGCTACTAAGCGCCACGTGAGATTATTCCGTCTGGCTTGCTGTCATTTTGTATGTGATGAAGTAGCTGTATAGCTTCGAAAACTTGTGCCATAATGTTATTCTAGTTAGTGTTTAAAACTCTACCTACACTGTATACATGTACATATATCTGTAACTAGCAGACTATCACGGCTCTATACATCTTTTAGAAGAAATCAAGAAATATAGGTGATTTCCAACAACCAGTCAATCGACTGATTTTTGGGAAAAAGACTTCCATGGAGGAAATTGTGTTTCGTGATCCAAAGGTTACACATGGTATTCATTGTTTGTTTGTTTATCGAAAAGCGTTTTATCCACTGAGCTGAAATTGCAACAGGTTAGCTTTTTAACATTTTTTCTTTGGATTTTGAGTGGCATATTATTGGAAGCAAAGGAAAAAACATTCACATGAAAAGCAAATGATCCTTAACATGCATAGGTTAAGGCAGATTAAGAATATCATCAACATTCAAGCCTAGGACCTATTTCAGGGTAAACGTTTCAGAGCATGAAACGAAGTCCAACTAATTTGTCCCCTTCCAGTTTCTGAGAGAAGAAAGAAAATTCCTACCGTGCCCAGTCGCCGAAGGCCTCCTGGCCAATAGCGCCGTACGGATGCCGCTCACTGCCCCACTTCGCCCGTACCATATTCCAGCAGCGACCCAATATGATCGACGTGTACAGCAAGGCGGCATACAAAAGGCCGAAGAGCAAGAAGCCAACCCAACCTTCAGGAAAGATCATTCATTTAAAACCAAAAGAAATAGTTATCTTATGCTTCATGAGCTACTTGCGCAAGTGCGGCCTAAACTTTATAAGAAAAAGAGAGACCACTGGGAAATACCATAATTGTGTGTGTGGATATTTCAATAAAATTTGTTTTGAACAATCGAAAACCAATCAGTGAGTTTATGCCTTATTGGCTTTGTGCGCAAGTGTCCCTTAGGCCCCAAAAAAGTCTTCGGTTTCTAGTATATGGAGCTTTCTCAAAAAGAGGCATAAGGCTGGAGAATACGATATCGACCGACACGACAAAAATCGGAGATCACGGTAATGTTACACCATACCACGACATCGACATCGAACATGAGCTGCAAGGCTGGTCATAAGTCTGCTCCCTTACATATAGCGCTAATTAAAAAGCGTTTACAGGTTCCAGTTGTGGTTCGAACTATCACTCCCTCAATTTGGCTTCCAGATGCAGACGCACAATTACAAAATTACAACTTCGTTTGCAAATAGTGCCAGACTAGCCAGATTTAGTGCAAAATATATTGTAGCCCAGAGAGGCCACCTAAAGCTTTTACTCGATCGCATATCCATCTAAAAACACATTTAAATTGTGCAGCAGCGGGATTCCAGTCAAACCAGTGTGTTTGGCAGTTTTGAGACATCATCTTACATTGAAAAAAACCCTTTTTAAAATTTTGCCGACCCGCATGGCTACGGCGAAGCGCGCAGACTAGAAACCGGCAACCTTTTTGGCCTAAACGGTAAGAAAAAAAAAGGAAGTTGGAGGAGACCACTGGAAGAAACCGTAGTTTTTGTGGATATTCAAGTGCATTTCCCCGCTCAAAATGCATGTAATAAAATATATTTTCGTGCAGGAAAAGTTATTTATTAAAGGAAACATACAGTTCAGCTCACCTTGTTTTCGTGCACTTTACTATGTATTGCAACCATACATACACGATTTTAATACTTGTTTTCATTGAAAGTAACAAGAAAGTGGTAGTTTTTCAATTATTAGCAAATCCTTTCATCAATACATGCAAGAGGGCGCTATTTTGCTTTTGTTACACAAGGTGTCAAAAGTGCGTATGAACAGTACAAAAGTTAATCCTGTAAGACTACCCACAAAAAAAAGTTTTGAACAAATATTCGCCACTGCTATCGTCCAGACAAGCTGTTTGTCGATAAACAAGTAAAAAAAGGAACGTACTAAAAAAAACCTAAAAAAAACCTTGGATTTATATTTGTCACTCACCGGTGCTAACGACAAGAACGTCGACGGCTAGAAAACCCAGACCGGCACAAATACCCAATATGGAAACAGCCGTCTGCCAAATATTGATGCCATCTGCCTGTGGTGTCAAATTATTAATACAGAACTTCATAACGGTGAATAAATTATAAATTAACAGTCGAGTAGTCTAAGAAAAAAGCCCAATAAAAATTAAACAAAACAAATAATGCTAAAACATGTGTTCTGTACGGAGCCCCTAGAAGGACATCCAAAAGTTGTTGTTTTTTATCTCGTGCGCACGACATAATATCTCGTGCGTGCAAAGTTCAGGGAAAAAAGTTTACGTGCCTGCAAGGTTCAAGGAATTGGTGGCGAATAACAAGAAAATTGCCGACGTGAATCAAGATTGATTTAAACGGGAAGGCAATGAGGATTGGTTATCAGCATCAGCAGTTGGAATGGATGCGAGTTAGACGGTCTCACTCTCCCTGCCATTTTTAAACGAAGTCTCATGATGAAGAATGAGTGGGAATAGCGAAGGATGGTCAACTTTTAGGTTTTCTATGGGTGGGAATTAAGATAAGGCCCTGGCCCTGAGCAATCAGTTCAATGATTGACAGCTTTTTAGCCTTCAGCTAAAAGAAAGATACTCTTTGCCATATTTTCACGCTTTTTGAAAATTACGGGATTGGTCAGATCTTTCTCCGGCTGCTTTATATTTCTTTTGTTGGTGTTTGTTGATTCTCCTCGCCATGCCCAAGCAGACTCCGATGGATGTGTTTATAGTGAAGCTGCTTAGCTCATTTTTTTGCCCAAATCGTGCACTTTGTGTTAAAAGCATGGAATTTGGCACGTGGGGTCAAAATGGGGCTACAAATTATTTTAAGATCGGGCCCCATCTTGGATCTTGCCCATTTGGGGGGCGAAGCTTGATTTAAATTTTAAAAAAAGGTGTGTAAACAATACAAATTCATGAAAACGGTATTTAACATCCATTTTCCTGGTTTTTCTATTCTTTGAAATACACTTTAACATAAAATAAGACGTTCTCAGCCTTGTAATTGCGAAGGCTTTGCATCTAGCGTTGTTAAGCAAATTTTACGCAAGGTTGATTTTTCAACAATTGTTAAGGTCTAAAGGTCTTTTCATTGTTACTTCCGGTTTGGTGACGTCATCAATGTTTCTCCCCTTCAACTTGTTCTTAGCATAAAGCTGATTATATACATAGATAAAGTGCTTTCAGCAAACATCGCGACACACATCAACTGGTTATTCATTTTAAACATTTTTCAACCTGCCGCTCGAGGGCATTCTAACATTTTATGACGTCACCGGTTTTATGACGAGTTAAGTATGATGTGCGCACGAGTTTTTATCTCGTGCGCACAACATAATGTCTTGTACGCACGAGATAATATTTCCTGCGCACGACATATATAATCTCGTGCTCAGGACATAATTATCTCGTCCGAACGAGATTTTTATAGGTATTAACGGAGCTAGCATGCACGCACAAAATCTAATGCCAGTAGATATATAATTTTATAACACCTCACCCGCAGATTCTGTGTCTTGATTGGCCGAGAGCGAGTCACATGATACTTTCTAATTTTGCTATCTTTCTGTGCACGGCCAAAAGTACTATACCCGTAGCAACCAAAGTATTATAACACCTCACCCACAGATTCTGTGTCTTGATTGGCCGAGAGCGAGTCACATGTTACTTTCTAATTTCGCTATTTTTCTGTGCACGGCCAAAAGTACTATGCGCATAGCAACCAAAGTACTATACCATTAGCAACCAAAGTACTATTTCCACGGCGTGGTATTTGTGTGCAAATGCATGCTGGTGTGCGCGTTGCGCGTTGTGCGTAGCGCGTATTATTCCAAAGAGAGCACGCCGCAGACTTGGGTTCAAACATTTCGTGAAGGGGTAGTTATTAAGAGAGAAATACATTTTCCACCAATTTTGTATTGAAATTGAAGTTTATTTCAACTGTGTTCAGATTTAAATAATTTAAAATATTAAAATCAAGCAGAATCTGTGGTTGAAGTGTTATAAAACAAATATAGAATGGTTTATCTCGTGGTGAAGTAAAACTAGCCTCCCTCGGTGATCCATGGACCATTCTATTTTCCCGAGGCGAAGCCTCGGGAAAATAGAATGGTCCATGGATCACCGAGGGAGGCTAGTTTTACTTCACCACTCGAAGCATTCAATATTTGTATACTATACCATTAGCAACCAAAGTACTATTTCCACGGCGCGGCATTCGTGTGCAAATGCATGCTGGTGTGCGCGTTGCGCGTTGCACGCAGCGCGTTTTGTTCCAAAGAGAGTGCGCCACAGAGTTGGGTTCAAACATTTCGCGAAGGGGTAGTTTGGAAGAGAGAAATACATTTTCCACCGATTTTGTAATGAAATTGAAGTTTATTTTAACTGTGTTCAGATTTAAATAATTTAAAATATTATTACCAAGCAGAATCTGTGGGTGAAATAAAACAAATATTGAATGCTTTATCTCGTGGTGAAGTAAAAGTAGCCTCCCTCGGTGATCCATGAAGCATTCTATTTTCCCTCGGCTTCGCCTCGGGAAAATGAAATGTCCATGCATCACCTCGGGAGGCTAGTTTTACTACCCCAACTCCAAGCATTCAATATTTGTATAATATACAATAACACTAATGCACCAGATAGATGTCGTGCACACGAGATATATGTCGTGCGCACGAGATAAAAAAGATAATTGTGGATGTCCCTTTAGGGGCTCCGTAGTTCTGTTCATGTACAAAGCGTTGAATTATCTACACTCAATTACCCCATACAAAATAAATATTTATGACCTGTACTGTAAATTATCCACTGCCCGGTGTATCTAAACAACATTAACGGGCGATCACACGAATTTTACACTATTTCACAAATATTTTTTGATTGCATGAAATACTATGAGACATCAACGGTGTGCGCTGTTGCTGCCTGGCCACACTCTTCAGGTTTTAGTCAACACAAAAATGCTTGTTGACTTACTAACAACTATGAATTACCAACAAATTTGAAACATAAAACAAAAATTTTGATGCACAAGCTATTTAATTGTTGTATAGATTGGGACGGAGTGATGTCATCCGATAAACAAATCTATTCATTTGCTTCACCAGTTTTCATCGGTTGCTATGCGTTACCATTCAACACTCCAGATTCAAGAACCATTGACTTTCAAGAACATAGGTCTGGGAGCTAGATCAGCCAATGCAAAGAATTCCCGGATTTCCGCGCCTACCTATAATACACTGACTTTTGTGACGGTAATGGATCATAATTTTGGCCATGAATATGGAAATGGGTATTAGCATGAAAACCAAACAAGCATCAAGGCACAATCCAAAAGCATCAAGGCACAATCCAAAATCATTCTATTAAATGGGCCCTTGAAGTTGACCAATAACTTACATTGGAAGATTCGCCGTCGTTGGTATCCTTTCCATCTCCCGACGTATTTCCCGTACTGACATGTTGCAACCTCTCGATCAGTCTTAATGTTTGGCCGTCTGTTGATTCGGCCATTCTGCTGTTTTCCTCTTATAGGCAAAATCGTCACTGAAGTTCAGAGCCCTTTCTTCCTTCAGCCTTCAGTTAACAAACTACAACAGAAAATGGCACAACAAACTAGACTCCAAAATTAGCAGACAACTCCCATGGACACCAGTGCTAAATGCCCATACTTCAAAATTATGTTTAAAATACACAGAACTCTCACGTACGGTTAAGCTGCACAGAGAAATGATGTTCAAAATGTCATCTTTCATTTTCTTTTCATTACTGGGTGGGTTGACCAATGACTTTTCGAGAAATTCTCACCCAAAGAAGACGACCCCTATTTTTCCCAAAGCGGAAAAGTAGCCTTCTTGAAAAACGATCCCTCCACAACATGGAAAACTGGCTCCACTTTCGAGCCCAATTGCATCCAAAATGCTCAGGATTGGAAGCTTCAAGTCCGGGTCAGAGGTTCATTGCCATATCTCTTCAATGCCCCAATTTTATGGCTGCTTTTATATAGAATATTTTGTATAACTTTTATTCAAGAGCTCGGCGGATGGGTTTAAGCAAATTTGCCGTTGTGCCACTGCTTGTTGGGCTAGTATATTGAAATATTCAATCTTTGTCAGTTACTCTTTTGTTGGGTTCCCTCGCTCCAGTCGCGAGCATTGTCATTTGTTGCTCTATTTTATCTGAATTTGATCGGTCATGCAGGGATAGCCCAATACTGACTCTTTTATATACCGTGTATACTTTTATATCAAACGAAGTTGGTATAAAGTATTGCTGGTATCTGCATAAACAGTGAATGTACTCTTGTTACTTTGCAACGAACAACCTGTAAAATAAACTAGACATATATGTCTGTTTGCAACAGAACATAGGGATTTTTTTTTATCAATAACACGTCCCTGGCTATGCATGTACAACGTTTCAATCGAATCGGACCTATGGTTCTTTAGATGCACTTTTAAGACTACATCGCTAGACCCGTGATCACCTGTCACCAGAGTGCGCTGGTATAGTGCATGAGGTCACTTGTCAGATTTTTGAAAAGCCACCCTTTCCACAGACTTACATCGTTGATACAAGTACACTTCTTTTACCAATTGCAAAAATAAGGCACTTCCTGTTTCAACCGGAAAGAATGGTAACGCGATTGTGCACTTTATATCAAAAATTAAGACCCTGGATTATTCTATCAATTCTCGTAAAAAGCAAAATTAGATCTGTGTTCCTTTATTATGTTCAGGTCTGACAAATGATGTTTCAAATATTTCACACACCCCCAGTTGTGAGAAGAAAAAAATACGGAAACTTGACCGAAAAGGCAAACATTTCTTTTCTGCCACACGAGGGCACTGCTTGCTTTTCCCAAGCAGCAGTGTTCATCAGAAAGACGACATCGACTGGTTACAAATATGGACTTTGTTTAACTTTAAATCTGATATAAAATCTCATTGATGGCGTTTATCATGCATCTCGGTAAATTTGCCTCTACAACACGTGTATAGACTACGTTCCTACTTAATTGTGACAAAATGGGACCGACAGTTTTCTCAATACGAGACTTTGACAAATGAACTTTCATGATGACGCCACATGCCCTGCGATGACGTCATCTTAACAACATTTGTCAGTACACACGTTTTCATTGTAGTCTTGGTTGTACGAAATTTGAAGTCAAACGGATGAACGGAAGTGTAAAGGTTTGTAAGGGGAATAAAGCATTTAATATTTTTAAACAAATCATAAAAAAATCAACCGATGATGTCATCATGACGTCACTTTGGGATTTGCATATTAGTAACGGTGCCTACCGACCCACTAAGTTTCAAGACATTCGGACTGACTCTTATATGTGTTTTGGAAAATCGCAATTTTTTTTTGATGACGTCATCGTGACGTCACGAATTTAAAAAAAATGTGCATATACCTATTATCTAACAAACCTAATACAAAAAATAAATTTTAAATTTAGCATTATGGATTATGGATTCTTTGGGTAAATATGACGCAATTGTTGGTCAATGTTTCCCCATTTATGGCTAATTGACGTTGTTGGAAAAATACAAAAGTTGGATACTTCAAGAGTCTTCGAAGTTGAGCATAATTTACGCAAGAAGTGGATAATACAAATAGTTAACCGTATGTTGGGGGAAATATATTGCCGTTACCCCGTTGTTGGGCAGGTCCGCTAATCACAAGTCTTAAAAGTTGGTCACTAAAAGCAGAGGCGATGATAATGTCGGCAGCATCTTGTGAAATTCCCTGACGTTGCAGGTTTTCCCAGACAAATGGCATGCCATCAGTTGTAGCCGCTCTTGCCACAGATGGAGTCTGCCTTAAGAAGGAAGCGAAAGTATATCAGCCCTTTTAGGCAATGCTTGTTTATGAGTAGTTTCAACATCTTTGGAAACCAGACTTGTGTTTGCCATCGTGGGGCAATGAGTAGGCCTGGCGATTGATTCATCGAATTCAATTTTCGCCAATGCTTTCCTAATTAGACAGGGGGGGGGGGGGGGAATGCATAGTTTTTGTAGTCAGATCAGTCCAGTGTAAATGCATCATAACTGAATGCACCCGGATCAGGTTGCCCTGATATATGGCTGAATTTGATAATTCAATCTTGACGCAAGCATGTCAATGTCAGGCACCATGAATTTCGCAATGATTTTGCGCAAAAATGTCTGGGTGTACTTTCCATTCTATATCTTCATGGAAATTCCGTGAGGCAAAGTCTGCCATCACATTATCAACCCCAGGCAAATACGATACAGATCTAGCCGTATCCATAATCAAATATCCCTCGCAAGTTCATTTTACTGAGGGAATGTGTGCCACCAAAATACTGAATATACGAAACAATTGTTGTGTTGTCCGTTTTTAGGTGAATGTGGATGTCCCTGCGTTTATTGAAAAGGGACTGCAAAGCAAAAAAGCATGCCTTTAGCTCAAGATAATTGATATGGAAATCAATCTCTGTGGCAGACCATTGTCCGCCTAATACCTTACCATCGCAGAGAGCGCCCTAGGCACTTTTGAACGCATCAGATTCAACAAAGAAATCTTGGTTATTTCTGTGAATGGGGGCATTTGCGTACTGTAAATTAGCATGCCACCAACTTTAATCTGTCTTGGCTCTGTCAGATGAAGACATTCTTGCCTCAAAATTGTTGACATTAAGAGATAAAGCCTCATTCTTATCCATTTCAATGGATCTTCTGAATAAAGCACCGTATGGCACGGCTATCTCGCAAGAAACCAAAAGCGTGTGCAACGTCCCGTATTTTTGGTTGTGGCATCGTGATCAAATTATCAATGGCTATAACGATATTCTGTACTTTCAGGACAGGAATCGAAATGGTCATGTTGACAGAATTCAGAATAAACCCAAGAAACTGAATGTTCTGTGTGGGTTCTAGAATCGATTTCTGAGCATTGATAATAAACCCTAGGGGTCAGACGAGCTTTAACATTTGTCGTTAATGGTTGAACCTAGCATCAATGAATCGTCAATGTAATCACATGACTCATGGCCTCTCTGTCTTAGGGAGGCAATTAGAGGTTTCATTTTTAATTTGTTCTGCCATTGAAATCGCCAAAATACTTGCGATGTTCTTTTGCAATGGGCACGGCAAAATATGCATCTTTCAGGTCGATTGATGCCATAAAGCACTGAGGCCGTACAAGTTGCAGTGCAAACTGAATGGTTTCCATTTTGAAATGGAAATAGGCCACTGATTTGTTCAATTCTCGAAGATTGATAATCGGCCGAAAAGATCCGTCCTCTTTGGACGAATAAAAATTGTAGACATAAACTCCCCAGGCATGCGGGTAACTTGCCTGATTGCTCCTGTAGAAGCTTAATTATTTCAGCCGAAATAATGTCAGTCTCATTTTGAGAAAATACCATTTGTCTCGGCTGATACAACTGGACAGGTTGTTCTGTAAATTCTATAAAGTAATACTATTATTGCCTCTAGGACCCATTTGTCCGAGGTTACAGTTCGCCATTTGGCTACATAGTAGGCCAATCTACTTGCAATTTTGGTACATGCATTTTCAATGCAATGCCTCACCAGTTTTTTGCTTGGCAAATCTACTTTTTGGCTTTTGCCGATGGCTGCGGTTTGTGATTCCACCGAGATGCCTGGTGCTGGCTGTAACGCTGGTAGTTTAAATAGCTACCGCGTATTCTGCCGGTGTCACGGTCTCGCTTCTCCGGCGTGCTAGATTCTCCGGGTGAACGCGGTGGATAATTGAGCACGTTACAGTGCACGTTACATGAGCACGATACATACTCATGTGTCCGCTGTGCTTACTTTTCCTCGGGCTGTTCTGAAGTCTACAAGTCCATATTATATGTAACACAGTGAGGGACACCCAATAATGTGTTATGTAACACTTCCTGTGGGTCAAGCTATTGAGCTTATAGAGAGGAGTATAGTCATTGCATTCCATGGTCTTGCAAGCACTCTGATTTGTGTACCCAGCGTCGTGTGTGTGTTCATGGAGGAATAATTAAGAACGAGCTCCTTGGTCTGTGCAAGGTCTGTGTTCCTTGCTCGTTCGTGGTTGTCTTTATTTTTGCAACCATGGTTATATTTAAAGTAAAAGTGTATCCTTCAAGTTTTTTGGTTGCATGTTTTGGGAGTTGTGCGCGCCACGATTCTGGATTCGACTGTTACCTTGTAATGTATACACACAAATATCCTAAGATCTCACGTGCACCAGTACAACCCCAAAGAACTCAGCACACAAATAAAGTTGGCGGAAATGTACACTACTGCGCAATTTGCGCATGCGTGTTGAGGCGAAATGGCCCTCTGCGGAGAAGCCAGCACGCCGGAGAAGTGAGACCGTGACACCGGCACTAGTGAGGTTCCCTCTGTGTAAGGACCCCTCGGTGTCGGTCCCCCGCGAGCCAGTAGAGAATCCAACTTTCAGTCCATTTTTTTTTCGTTTGTTGGATGTCTTTACATTGTTGCGGTGAATTGTTCCCAAACAGGAGCCCAGTTACTAGAACATGACTGTGATGAACCCGGGCCAAAACTGTTTGTTTAAGTCAGGCTTTTAAGCCCGACTACTTAAAAGTGTCGCTCTCGATATTGGTTTTCTGGGTTCTTCCAGTGGCGGTTCTACGAGGGGGGGGGGGAATTGTGTCTAGCCCCCCCCCCCCCAAAAAAAAGAGAAGAAATTCCATAAAAAAAATTGCACTAGCAAAACGTAAGGATGTGACTTACATATGAGCGGTCTCGATCGCCCCCTAAATAAATAGTCGTGAGAAAGGTGCATTTGTGCACTTTAAGTTAGTATAGTGTGCCTGATTGTAGGATTTTATCAGCGGTCCCCATTGAAAATATGGCACGAGGCCCCCCCCCCCCCCCCCCGGGTTTGTTTCGTTTTGGGGGAGGGGGAGGAATGCCCTCCGTTGCCACACCCCCCCCCCCGATCCGCCCTTAAGTTTGAACTGTTTGAAAGATGATGCACTCCGGAAGATGATGAATTTAATTCCATCTTTGGCGTACAGCACAAGGGCAAGTTTTACATCAATAATGAAGTTGGATTAAACAAACAAAAAGTCGAGAATTCTGCAAATCGTAACGTGCATACACAAAACTGGTTATATCAGACAATAGGCTGGTGCATGTCATGTACTACATGCGATATAACATGTACATGATGTAGTTTAAGCTTCTAGCAACCTGAAAATTAGTGGGCAGCTTTCATCCACTCCTGTGGACTTTCTCAAGCCAAGTGATTGTGTACTCAGTTTCTTGCTGTCTGTTGTCCCGAGATCACTGGAGCGTTATGATCACCCCAACCAATGAAAGTTTTCTGTATTATACATGCGATATGTGTCCATTCAACTACACCATCCAAACTGACTTACCTCACTGGAGGAAAGTACTCCTTCAATGTCTGAACTATGAGTTATGAGTTGCTGAAAACGGGCGGTGCAGACCACAGTAATGTTAAGGCGAACGGAGGAGGAACTGTATATTCGTTCAAACAATTTATATCCTCAGTCATCTGAATGAATTGTTCGCGCAACAAAAGGCTTCCCTGTCCCGTATACAATCGCGGCGGTGCAGACCACATTTTGTTTGAACGGAATACGGTCTATTATGTGTGATATATGGGACTGGTTCAAACACATTCCTGAGTCACATGAAATATAATAACACCGAACGTTGGTTACGCGCCAACGGGAACCAATTAAGGCAAGTCCACTGAGTGCATTTTGTACTAGAGCTCAGAACAGTCGTTTATCCTGGTGTCTAGGATCTGTGATCAAACCAGAAGTTCATGCATATCCCAAATTGCATAGTGTACATGTTATACCGGTATACATACATGTACATGTTATACCGGTATACAATGTACATGTAACAATTAAAAACTTTTACATTTCCTTGAATTAAATTCCTCAATAAAATAATAAAATTAACTGCAACGATATGAACCTAATTGAAGTTTAGAGATAATACATGTAAACTGCATTATTTTTCCCCCAAGATAGCTAGAACCAAAAACTTCAACATTTTTATCCGAACGCGGACGGCCGGACGGACGGACAGACGGACAGACGAACGGAAATTGATATTACATAGGCTTGCATCTGCTTCGCAGCTCGCCAAAAATCTATTTTGAGTCAGAAAGAAATCGTCCTCTGAACTATTCATGTTGACGGAAGGAGCCTACACTGGGGTGGCGATACACATGTAAAACTCGCCAAAATGCTTGATTATAAGAGCCCCGAAAAGAACTTCCTTGTAAATAACCCAAATGGCAACAACTCGACACGAAATATGCAAGTCTTTCATCTCCACTCACTGGAACGTTAATGACAATAATACTTCTTTTGACGCAGTGGTTGAAAAGTCGGATAATGCCGTGCGGTAACACACTATTCGTGGGTGTTAAACAGTACCTTCATTGTGTTTCATCAGCTCAAGCCAAGCGTGCACGACTGAATCCTACACCGTTTTATGGTGTACTATAAAGGACACCTATCTGTTATCGTCGTGCGTGTGGGGAGCTCTGTCGTGCCTGTGAGCAGGTCCGTCGTGTTTGTGAGCAGAGCGTCGTGCGTGTGAGTAAAACCGTCGTGCCTGTGAGCAGGTCCGTCGTGTTTGTGAGCAGACCGTCGTGCGTGTGAGTAAACACCGTCGTGCCTGTGAGCAGGTCCGTCGTGTTTGTGGAGAGGTCCGTCGTGTTTGTGAGTAAATCCGTAGTGCCTGTGAGCAGGTCCGTCGTGTTTGTAAGTAAAACCGTCGTGCGTGTGAGTAAAACCGTCGTGTTTGTGAGTAAAACCGTGGTGCCTGTGAGTAAACCCGTCGTGCCTGTGAGTAAAACCGTCGTGTTTGTGAGTAAAACCGTCGTGCAAGTGAGTAAAGCCGTCGTGCCTATGAGGCGCCATGTGTAAATAAATTATTTAACAAAATTATTTATATTTAATTCATTATTTATTATACAATTCAGTTTTCCGGACAATTATATGTAAATAATTGTTTGGCAGTTTGCATTATATGTAAATAAATTTATTTGCCACTGCATTATTTATATATATAATTTTTTTTGCAACCTTATTATTTATATATAATTTTATGCAAACGTAATATTTATATTTAATTTATGTGCAAACTTGTTATTTATATATAATTTATTTGGTACCTCATTATTTATATATAATTTTGCACGCTTTAAATTATTTATTATATGATATATTTGGCACCTTATTATTTAAATATAATTGTTTGCACACTTTATTTATTGATATATAATAATGCATTATTTATTATATAATTCATTATTTATCATATAATGCATTATTTATTATATAATGCATTATTTTATTTTATCACTACAAGATATAATGCATCATTCGGCACAGACACAGATACAGTGTAAGTCAAGTTCATTAATTAGGCCCAGAAAGTTCACTTCGGATTAGCTTTTCGAAGCCGCTACACATGGAAAATAAACCCACCACCTCCCCTTCGCCTTCAACATTAAGAAATTAATTAAGGGCGAGAAGTTACTGGGTACGACGGGCAGTGCCTCAATTCAAAAGAAATAAATAGTTTTTAAGTAAGATTTTGAATTTTGATCAATTTTCACAAGTTCGTTTTAATCTTTAGAAACACTACGCCTAGCACCCTCTAGTACTGGTGGGGCTTATTCCAACCGTATTTTCCAACGGTGGGAAAAATCGCCGTGTCTTTTTTCAAGTTTATTCTTAAGAAATTTTGGCATTTTTCAAGTTTATTCTTAATTAATTTAGGCATATTATAAATTCAAGTCACGTGAAAAATTACACTGTGACTAACACCCATTTGTTCTGATGGGTTTAGTATCCAACCGTAGTTTCTAGCGGTGGATATATTCGCAGTGAATGATTGGCAAGCGTTTCAAGATTTGGGCCCAGTGATGCCAATCATGGCAAGGATTTGGGGCAAACGTACGTGCCCCCGTTTTTTTCTGGCCAATGTGCCCAAACTGTTTGGGTTAATAACATTTGAATAAAACAAAATAAAATAGCGGCTCGAAAAAACTATGCCAAAAAGTCAAACTTTTGTTCCAAGGTGTTTTTGTGTGTGGTCTGAGATAATTATTATATAATGCATTATATAATAAATAATGAAAGTGTGAAAAAAATTGTATATAAATAATAAGTTATCAAATAAATTATATAATAAATAATTAAAGTGTGTAAAAAATATATATATGAAAAATGAGGTACCAAATAAATTATATATAAATAAATAAAGTGCACAAAAATTATATATAAATAAAAAGGTAGCAAATAAATTATAAATAAATAAAAAATGTGCAAAAATTATATATAAACAATAAGTTTGCAAATAAATTATATATAAATAATTCTAGTTTGCCCAAAATTATAAGTAAATAATTAGGTTGCAAAAAAACCTATATATATAAATATTGCAGTGGCAAATTTATTTACATATAATGCAAAATGCCAAACAATTATTTGCATATAATTGTCCGGAAAACTGAATTATATAATAAATAATGAATTATATATAAATAATTTTTGTTACTCACACGCACGACGGTTTTACTCACAAACACGACGGACCTGCTCACAGGCACGACAGAATTTCTCACAAACACGACGGACCTCTCCACAAACACGACGGACCTCACGACGGTTTTACTCACACGCACGACGCTCTGCTCACAAACACGACGGACCTGCTCACAGGCACGACGGTTTTACTCACACGTACGACGCTCTGCTCACAAACACGACGGACCTGCTCACAGGCACGACGGTCTGCTCACACGCACGACGGTCTGCTCACAAACACGACAGACCTGCTCACACGCACGACGGACCTGCTCACAGGCACGACGGACCTGCTCACAGGCACGGCGGAGCTCCCCACACGCACGACGATAACAGATAGGTGTCCTTTTTAGTACACCATACCGTTGTTTGCTGATTTGCATATCCCGCCCACCCTACCCTTCATTTCTCTGGTGAATTTTACACCCAGCCTCCCCCAAAAAGAGGGAACACTGCTGTCTCTTTTCTCAATCATTATCCTTGTCCAGGCACGTCCACTTCTGACATCTCCTTCACTTGCGGCAAACCAGGACACTGTTCCAGACAGTCTGAACGGTCCAACGTCAAAGTCAAGGCAAGAGCCAGGACCAATCCGGCCATCGTTTACATAGATTTCGACTCCAGAAACTCGCATGTGGCAGATTCCCTTTCCAGGATACGGCAGCTCCAGCTGGCACTCCGCCGCCAACTCGGGGGCCGCCCGATAATCCGAAGGTCCGATAGTCCGAAGGTTCTTTAGTCCGAAGGTTCGATAATCCGAATGCACAAAATTTCCATAAGAGGGGGTTCGTTAGTCCGAAAATGAAATAAGGTTCGTTAATCCGAACATTTGATGCAATAATCCGAAGGTTCATTAATCCGAAGGCTCATTAGTCCGAAGGTTAATTTATCCGAAGGTTCGGTAGTCGGAATTTAGAATAAGGTTAATTAGTCCGAAGGTTCAAAAGTCCGAAACGAAAATAAGGTTCAATAGTCCGAAGGTTCATTATTCCAAATTGACAACAAGGTTCGATAATCCGGAAAGACTATAAGGTCCGTTAGTCCGAATCGACAATAAGGTTCGATAGTCCGAATCGGCAATAAGGTCCGATAGTCCGAATCAACACTAAGGTCCGATAGTCCGAAGTGTCAGACTGACGAACCGTATTGCCCATTCGGACTATCGAACCCTATTCTCAATTCGGACTATCGAACCGTATTGTCAATTCGGACTATCGAACCTTATCGTATATTCCGACTATCAAACCTTATCATCTCTTCGGACTATCGAACCTTATTGACGATTTGGACTATCAAACCGTATCGTCTATCGGACTATCGAACCTTCGGATTAATTAACCTTTTTTCTATTTTCGGACTAATGGGCCCTTCGGACTATCGAACCTTCGGATTATCGAACCTTCGGACTATTGAACCTTCGGACTAATGACCCTTCGGACTTAAGAACCTTCGGACTATCGAACCTTCGGACTATTGGGCTGTAACCTTAAGCCAACTCGAGCCCACCTGCCTCGTTCTGCTCCCAGACCCTTCGGACTATGGGCATACAACTCATTCAGATGTTCGTACGTGCATACGAGTTTATGTAAAGCTTGATGAAAGACGAAACCGCTTTTCACCTGTTTTTTAACGAACAAATTGGAGGTCATTTCTTCCCCAAGAAAAATTACCCGTCACACCAAACCCAATTGTCCTGCCGAACAAATCGAAGTTAGTTAGATATTGGATACTCTTTTGAACGACATACAATTTTGTTATTTTTATAGACACACTATTCTGTTGTTTACAATCAAGTCGTGGTTTAATGTTTCTGTTTGTCTTACAAAAAACTCTTTTAAAACAAGCACTACAGATAAAACGGTTAAAACAAAAAATCTAAGTGAAGCGAAAAAGTTAAAGTCAGTAAATTATAGGCCGACGTATTGTATTTACAAGTAGCATTAACTTTTAAGAAGTTTTGCACCTGCAATTCAGGTCGGGCAAAAAGAAGAAAACCCCACTTTTGACAGCAATTTTCACCTACTTGTTGAGCATATTTCAATAATTCAATTTAATGGTATTAAAATATTGATCTTTAAACATAAATGACGATTTTCATGAGCCTGTTTGTCCACGGACGGCTTTATTCCATCCGCTTGACTGAGCCCCGGAGCTTGATTTGAAGAAGAAAAAACCACTGCACTAGACTTACACGTGGACAACAGTGATTTTGGTGACTTGTATTCAAATTAGCATAATATCACTATTCTTGCGATTTTTTTTTTCAGATTTATTGTCACCGCGTATATGGTTAAAGAGCTATGCTTCACTACATTATAGAAAAAAAAAACAGTTCAAATAAGTCAAGTAAGTAGGTTAAAATTCCTGTCAAAAGTGGGTTTCCTTCTGTATAGCTCCCTCAGGCCATATTTGAACCCCGTCTATTGTATATGTGACAGAGTGGTTAGTTCGTAACATGATAAAGAACGCCTCTCTGCTAGCATTTCCCTGTGTGAATCACATGGCGTGACGGTGGCTGTAAGTCAAGGGGAAACTCTGCGGTAATGTGTGCGTGATCTGCAGAGAGCGAACCGGTAAACAAACTTCGGAAATTTGGATTTTTGACATGCGCAACTTTAACACTGACACCCTGGACAAAACACACTTTCCAGGTCGGGCTCCCCCCCCCCCCCCCCCCCCCCGTTATTTCCTGATATTTCCCAGGCTTGCGCAAAACACTGAACAATAATTGTGCACCTGGTCAGATCACGGGCATCGGTTAATTGCAGCATTGAGCTTTAAAAATGGGTACACAATGACCCGACTTTCCAGGAACTCACTTCCTCGTTTTCCTTTCACATCAAGAGGAAGCGAAACTAAACGTTCTCTAGTACATTGTCACGAAACAGTTACAAATGATTGCAACGCTGCCACTAACAATTAAGCGCGACATCTTGCAAGTAAGACCGTATTCACCTGTAGTCGCCCAACCCTCAAGCTGTCGAGCCTCACTCAAACTCGAACTTACAAAATTCTGACTCCATACACTCATTATTTTGTATGAACCGGTTCGGCACAAACACAGAATCTTATAACTGAATAGCACGTAAATACACTGCACTGACGTGCACTTTCTTACTTCACTGCATGATATACAGCATGGCTGTCTCTTGTTTAAGTATCGCAGTGGCGCTGCATTTGTCGGTGGTTTTTGGCCTACTTTGTGTGCCTCCGTCAGAGGGTGCAATCACCCAGCTTCCACCAAACACTGCAAGTCAGGTGCTACCTTGTAAGTTCTGGAACTCTACCATGCTGGACTGCAGTGCGCGGAATCTGTCTTCAGTTCCAGCCGAACTCCTACCAATCGCAACGGCTGTAGATCTATCTGCAAATGACATCGCTCAATTGACCGAACACGATTTTACCAACTTGCCACGTCTGAGATATCTCAATCTCTCCATCAACGTCCTCCTCACTATCGGTAACAACACTTTCCGCAATCTGGTCACGCTGCAGACTCTCGATCTGTCCCAAAATAACATAGAGTCGTTGAATTCCAATGCATTCGCTGGGCTTCTTGAACTGGAATATCTTGATCTGTCCAAGAATAGTATCATCTCCGTTCCTGCAGAAGTATTTCGAGACCTTGGAAATCTACGCCAACTCTCCCTGTTCTACAATTCGATGAGCGTGCTACCATCTGACGCTTTCGTGCCTTTAAGGAAGGTTCATACGCTAGACCTGTCCTTAAATTTGCTGGACTTGACTGACCAGTAGGGGAGAAGGGCGGATACCAGACTTTGCCATAGGTCTGGGGGTAGTACAGGGCCAATGGGGAGAGGGGCAGGTACCAGACTTTATCCCTCCCCCTTTCCCCCACCCTCTGGCCACGCCCCCACCCCACCCGCCCCTCCCGATATCTCAGCCCCAAGCCAAAACCGGGGCTCAATATCTCTCGTCTTGAAGATCTCCCTCACCAGCCGGTGAGTCTGATTGCTTATAAATCCAAAAGTCTGACCTCTTAAAAAAAATTAAAAAAAATTATATTGATATATATAAATGATGAGTATGATCAAGCCAATCGTTAAGGGATTTTCTAGATGGAATAAAGCCACGCTGCGCGATTACGTCCAGCGATATAATATACCGTACGATCAAAATGTTGCTCTTACGCGTAAAGTCTACATCAACGGGATAAAAAAATACGAAGCTCAATTTAGAAACTTGAGGAAAAAGAAGCTACATGAGCTCAAACAGATTGTAGACGATTATGATCTAGAATATAACCCGTCGGGTTATAAGGGTCGACTTTTGAAAAAAGATTTACTCTCGGCGATTCAAAACTCTAGGCAACCCGAGTATTTTCAAGAGGCTGAGTTTAGAGCGACGAGGAGATTTAGAAATAACTTTAGAAACTGGGAACTGATTCCTAGACTTTTTAACGACGATTTAGTCAAGTTTTTTGATACGCACAAAGATCAAATTGTAAATAAAATCAAGTCAGAATTGAGAGAGCTGAGAGGTTTAAAAATGGAGCTCACAATCAAAATAAAATACGAAAAAACCAAACCCGATGGTACGATCGAAACGATCGAAGCTACACATTTTACCGATCAGAGAGTCGTTTTAAATCAAAGTCAAATAAAACAGGTTTTAAAAGAAGACATCGACCAGATATTTAAAAAGGATGAAAGGTATACGAATCAAGGATCGGGTTGGGTTTTAAAAAAGATAATGGCGTTGTATATCAACATCAACAGGTTTAACCCTGTGAGAGGTAGTTCTTATATTGACCTACCAAAATGTATCAAACAGAAAACGGCGATGATTAACATTAAAAACAAAGACGACGAGTGTTTGAGATGGTGTTTGAGAGCTGCTCTTGGGTTGTATACGGATAAAGTAAAAAATAACATAAAAAACGATCCTAAATATAAAATTCATAAAGAAGAACCTGTTGTATACACCAAAGACGACGGACTCAAATTTAAAGGCGTAGACTTTCCAACACCGATCGACCAGATACCAAAGATAGAAAGACAAAATAATTTAACGATAAACGTATACGGTTATGAGGGGGAAATATATCCGTTATACGTGTCTAAAAACTACAAACCAGAGTCACGACCTATCGATCTGTTTTTGTTTTCTGAGGGCGACAAGCATCACTACTGCTGGATAAATAACTTTTCGAGATTGATTCACAACGTTACAAAAGATAAAAGTAAGAAATATTTTTGTCGAAGGTGCCTGAGTCATTATAGAACGCAAGTAAAATTAGATAGACACATGGCCGATTGTAACGGTATAGATACACATCCGTCAAAGATTGTATTTCCTACCGCTAAGCAAAAATATGTAAATAACGAGTGGATAGTCGACGAAAACGATGTGCCAACATTAGAATTTAAAAACTACAGGTTTAAACAAAAAGCACCGTTTGTAGTTTACGCCGACTTTGAATCGATATTAGAAAAAAACTCGGACGATAAAAAGAACAACACGCAAAAGACAAACATTCACAAAGCTAGCGGTTACTCGTTGGTAGTAGTTAGATGCGACGGCACCAATGCGTATCAAGAGACTTATAGAGGTAAAGATGCCGCATCAACGTTTGTACATAAAATGTTAAAAATACAAAGCGACATAAATTGCATATTTAAAAAACCCCAACCCATGAAATTTAATGAGCGAGCTAAAGAACATCATGATACAACAAACACGTGTTGGATTTGCGAGAAACCAATTTATCCCAATTACTCGAGCAACTGTCAGTGCCAGAAACCCAAAAAACCAAAAACAGAAAAACAAATAAAAGAACATCAGTACGAAAACAAAAATGGATTTACAGAGTCTAAATGCCTCAACTGCAAAAAGAAAATCAACAAATTTAGAAAGGTGAGAGATCACTGCCACGTCACGGGTAGATATAGAGGTGCCGCGCACGCCTACTGCAATCTAAAATTACAAGTTAAACCAGGTTTTACCCCCATACCGGTCGTCTTTCACAATCTGCAAAATTACGACGCTCACTTGATCATGCAGAGTATTTCAGAGTACGATGAAAAGGAAATACAAGTTATCGCTAGAAATTCGGAAAAGTATATTTCGTTTTCGATCGGAAATATGCGATTTATAGACTCGTTTAATTTTATGGCGTCTTCGTTGGATAGATTATCTAAAGCTTGTCCAAGAGAGTCGTTTAAACTACTCAGAGAACATTTTAATCGTCAAAATATCGACTCGTTGTTACAAAAAGGAGTTTATCCGTATGAATACATGGACTCGTTTGACAGATTTCAAGAGACCAGCCTACCCCCCATCGAACAATTTTACAGCAGCCTAAAAGACGAAAATATATCGCGAGAGGACTACGACAGAGCTAAACTGACGTGGAACGAGTTTAAAGTTACAAACATGGGGGAATATCACGATTTGTACGTCACTACCGATACGTTATTACTGGCATGCGTATTTGAAAACTTTAGGAAAACGTGCATTACAAACTACGCGTTAGATCCGGCTAATTACTATACAGCACCAGGATTGTCGTGGGATGCCTTGTTAAAACACTCGGAAATTAAACTCGAACTATTGCAAGACGTAGACAAACATTTATTTTTTGAAAAAGCAAAAAGAGGTGGTATCTCAAGCGTGGGTGGTATGAGATACCACAAAGCCAACAACAAATACCTACCCGACCATAATCCAAACGAGCCGTCGAGTTACATCACCTACCTCGATGCAAACAATCTGTACGGCTGGGCCATGAGTCAATACCTGCCGTACAAAGACTTTAAATGGGCGTCTACAAAAACGTTTACCGAGTCTAAGATATTATCTCTCAGGAAAACGTCAAACACCGGTTACTGCTTTGAAGTAGACCTCGATTACCCGGATAATCTCCACGACCTGCACAACGATTATCCCCTAGCGCCAGAAAATATCGTCATACCAAAAGAATGGATGTCTGATTATCAAAACGAGTTATTGGATACCGAACCTAGTAGCAACGTGCAAAAATTAACGTGTACCCTTAATCCTAAACAAAAATATGTTTTGCACTACGTCACGTTGCAGTTGTATCTCAAACTCGGCTTGAAACTTAAAAAGGTACATCGAGTGTTGCAATTTAAACAAGCTCCTTGGATGGCATCTTACATAGACAAAAACACGCAACTCCGAACAAAAGCGACCTCTGATTTTGAGAAAGACTTTTTTAAACTGATGAATAACAGCGTGTTTGGTAAGACGATGGAAAACGTCAGAAACCGGATTGACGGTTACCTGCTCAGAGACAATAACGATGACGATCGAGATAAATACCAAAAAATTATACAGAAACCGAGCTACAAAACGACGACGTCATTTTCAGAATGCAAATTGTCATTTGTCGAAAAGTACAAGACTAAAACCGTGTTAAACAAACCAATCTATTGCGGAGTGAGTATCTTGGATCTATCTAAGACGCTGATGTACGATTTTTATTACAACCATTTGAAAGACAAGTACAAAGAGAAAATCAGGTTGATGTACACAGATACGGACAGTTTGGTACTCGTAGTGCACACGGACGACGTGTACAAAGATATGCAGCAAAACGGGCAACAATACGACCTTTCGAATTATCCGACGGATCATCCTTTGTACGACCCAACCAATAAGAAAGTGATCGGTAAATTTAAAGACGAGTTTGGAGGTAAAATAGTCAAAGAAGTTGTTTGTATAAGACCTAAAATGTACTCCATTTTAACCGCTGACATCAACCTGAAAAAAGCCAAGGGTGTCACAAAATCGGTTACCTCTAAGAAATTAAAACACCGACACTATTACGACTGCATCTTAAACAAGAAATCTCATTATGAAACCATGACTCACATTAGATCGGAAAACCATATTCTTTACACCGTATCTCAAAATAAACTATCGTTGAGTCCGTTGGACACAAAGAGGTACATTTTACCGGACGGTATAAACACGCTGGCTTTTGGTCACCGCAATCTAGATATTAATTAGGCGGTAATTGCGTGTCCTCGGGTACGACTTGAAGCTCTTGTCTCACAAAACTCCTTTTTGGGCCGTTTTGAAGGTAATAAAGAGTAGGACCCGTCGTGACTTTTTTACCGTTAATCATTTTAAATTGACTCGTTCTTTTTTCCACGTTGAAGATGTCTACGCTCCAAATGGGATCCGTGGCTCTTCTCGAGGTTCCACCCTCTTGCTCGCCCGGGTAATATAAATATCTAACCATGGCATCTTGCGGTAATTGTTGCTCTTTTGTTTTAACGGGGTTAGCCGGCGATTGCCGGACCTGTTCAAGTTTAACCGCCTCTGACGGTGCTTTAGCTATTAATCTCGTCGTTTCATCGTTTATAGCTTTGATCACGCTGGGTAATCGCTCGACCCATTGCGTGTTTCTACTCTCGGGATTTAACATTTCTTGAGCGTACTGATGACCAAACAGTCTCTCGGCTAGCGTTCGATTAAATCTTTCTACGATACCCTGCGATCGGTGGTTTCCAGGTTCGCCTACGATTATCTCGACGTTTTTTGAGGTCATCCATTTTTTAAATGCGCCTTTAAATTCGGTACCGGCGTCTACTCTCAACGTTTTAGGGTAACTCAAAGGAGATCTCGCGTAAATCTTGACGATAGCATCTTGGGTGGAATCCGCCGTTTTAGAAACCAAAGGTTCTGCTTCGTGGTATCGACTCGCAACGTCGACAACCGTCAAAGCGTATTTATAAGTCTTGCGTTTTACTTTATCCCAGGGTAGGTATAGCACATCCATTTGGTGAAAATCGTTTGGTGTTTCAAACTCTCGCGAAG